GCTATTGAGTTTATCAGTTGCTTATATATTTTAGATATTATCCCCTTATCAGATATATGGTTCGCAAATATTTTCTTGTGAAAGGACTTTTAAAGGTGATTCTGGTAAGTGTTTGGAAAGAAAAGAGCTAGAGAGAAAGCTTCCTTCTTCTTAGAGAACACATGAATAATCATGCACAAAATGTTGGTAGAAATGTGGATGGTAAAGGCCATTTTGATGAGGTCTCAGACAGAAATTAGGAACATGTTATTGGAAACTGGAGGAAAAGTGATCCTGTTAGAAAATGGCAAAGAACTTGGCTGAATGACATTCATGTTCTAGTGTTTTGTGGAAGTTAGAACAATTGAGGCATAGAAAGGTTAAGTCACTTGCTCCCAGTTATGGAGCCAATAATGCTGGAGCCAGGATTGAACTGGAGCAGGAATCTTAACCACTACCTCCATCTCCCTCCGCACGGGTAGACAGTGTGGGGACCGGCAGGGCTGGGAGAAGAGGTTGGGGTTTGGGAGGGCTGCAGGACAGAAGAAATTCCTCTATCAGTGTGATGCATGAAGAAGTGTTACCTTAGACAGGTTTTCCTAGGACTGACTCACATTAAGCAATAATCTTGTTTTGGAACTTTTCCATTTTAGGAAGACAGAAGAGCTGTAATAGTTAGCTCACATTCCAGGGGCCTAAAAGAAATCGGTGAGATTGTGTGTGTGGAAGTGCTTCGTAATCTGCAGAATGGAGTAGGGATATGATACTCCTTCCCCGGAGTAGGGCACAGTGTCCCACATGAGGACACTCAGACACTCAGGAACTATGCATGAGTGAATTAGCCTACGACACAGGAAGAAGTGAAGTACACACACGCACACACACACCCTGTATGTACGTGTATACCTCCCCACTAGATTGGGAGCTCTGTGATGCAGTGTCTGTGCCATCTCTGTGTCCCCAGTGTCCTACAGAATTCCCTGAAAATAGTCAGTACTCATAAATGTCTGTGATTAGTAATATTATAGTGCCTCTCATTTTAGTGGGGGGTTTTTATGGAATAGACTTTCCCTCTTTGGGGGCAGATGGAGGGATTGATAGGAATCACTGACTTGATTACTTCAGAGCCCCGTTTATATATTCCACACGGTGGGAGGCAGGGGTTCGAGGGTTAGTATTGAAAGGCCACAGCTGGGAGGGCAGCACTCCCAGTGACTCAGCAGCCTCTGTCTAATCCTTAGCACTGCAGGGACAGGGGCGTGTATTGAAGTGGGGGAAACAGGACCCATCATAGAGACAGGGTTGCTTTGATTCCTGGGGGACTGTTTTCCATGGTGCATTGAGCCAGAAAGTGGGATGTTCTCCACCCAGCGACCAGGGGGTGGTAAGTAGTCTTGTCCGTCATATAAAGGGGCCAGCGAGTCAGGCCGGTCTGGGCAGGCAATTGTGGGACTTGGTGTGAACAGCATGGCCTGTGAGCGATATGGTCACAGTGGCCTGGTGGTTGCTGTGACCAATGCAGTTGTTGATCCTGTGCACGGGAGCAGGGGAGGGTCACAGGACTGAGGTGTGTGACCAGGAAGTCTAGCTCTGCCAACAGAGGCAGAGAGTGACTTGCAAATGGAGTGGTGTGCTCCAGATGCAACACAATCACCAACACAGTCACCAGGCCCAGGGGAGGTGACCTCATTTAGCCCAGGGCTGTGCTGAGTGCAAGAAAGAAAAGAAAAGCATGTCTGGGGGAAACAGCGGCAGTGAATGGAATGGAGAAGACAGAGGCAGAAGCATCACAAAAGCTCTGCTAATCTAAGTTTGTGGCTGGTTGGGAAAGCTCTTGCAATTGAGTAAATGCAAAGGGAGGCTACAAGCCCATACCAAGCACCCATGAAGAGGAGCAGAGCAGAAAGGATCAGACAGACCATACGTGTTACTACCATCCCCTTGAGGAGGAGGCTTGATGATCAGAACGAAGTGACATTTTTTTTTTTTAATATTTATTTATTTATTTTTTTAATTTTTTGTTTATTGCAGTAACATTGGTTTATAACATTGTAAAAATTTCAGGTGTACATCAAAAGTGACATTTATATGTATGTTGTAGAAATGTTTACATTGACCCATCTTAGTCTGTGTGGGCTGCTATAACAGAATACCATAGACTGAGTGGCTTACACAACAGAAATTAATTTCTCACAATTCTGGAGGCCAGGAGGTCCAAGATCAAGGTGCCAGCAGATTCAGTGTCTGGTGAGAGCTGCTTCCTGGTTCACAGATGGCCATTTTCTTGCTGTGTCCTCCCATGGTGGAAGGGACGAGGGAGCTCTGTGGGATCTTTTTTTAAGGGCAGTAGTCTCATTTATGAGGGCTCCACCCTCATGGCCTAATCACCTCCTAAACACCCCACCTCCTAACACCATCACATTGGGGGTTAGGATTTCAACATATGAATTTTGGGGGGGGGATAAACATTCAGTCCATAATATCTGTTTTGCTAACTCTATATATCATTTACTCTAGTACAATTTCTTGTTATCGAACTATTCATTAATCTAAAATTTTACTTAAAATAATTCAGGCATTATCTGAAAAAGAAATAACTGAGCCTGGGTGGACTCAGCTAGTTATCGTTCAGCTGTCTTGCCAAGGCCAGTTGTATGATAACAGTCATGGAAGGAGTTGTTTTACAAATGGCATCCCAACCAGGGACTCAATCTTTCCTAGACAGGGAAAGGTGAGAAAGCTGATGTGTGCAAAGGTTTCGGCTCAGCTGGATCCCCTCGACCTTTCAGTCAGACTGGCGGGGCATCAGGCGCACATGCTCGTTTAGTAGGAACCTGAGAGAGTGGAATTAAAATGATGTGGTGCCAAAGCTGGCTAAGCCTTATTATTAGGACCTAAATATCAAGAAAGTCACAAATTCTTAATGAAAAGAGGGGATCTTTCATCAGTCAATAGGGAAGTTGAGGCCCGTGTTATCCTAATTTTTTTGACCCTACTTTCCTTCATTTAATCATGGTTTTAGCACACACAGCTATCCCAGAACTATTGATATTTTAAAAAACTTGAGCCTGAAAAACAGACAAAAGACTATATATGGTATCAGTCTAATGACTTATCTTAAGAATCTGTGAACTGTGGAATCGTGATTGTTAGGACGGAGAGACACCTGCTCGCCTTTCTGAAATGAGTTGCTGAAGAGAGATTCTGAGATTCAGAAAGGGTAAGGGATACAATATTGACCTTTTGGAGACAGGAAACCTTTGATGAACTATAGGACACCAAGACAGTTCATTTAAAAGATGGTTTCAAAGCATTGTCTGGGGCTGGTTTTGTATGAGCATCACTGAAGCCCTTGGCTTGTCTTTTTACATAAACCCAGTGAAATAATGGTTTCCGCAGTTGTTCATATATCTGCAACCTTCATGTGGTACCTTGGCTTCTGGGCTTTGTAACTGCTTTTGAGTCTCTTTTGTGGACAGAATTAAACTTTACTTACCATTTGACAGCATGAAACTTTCCTGAGATGGGAGTTAAGAAGAAAAGAGACAGGAAAAGGTCACCGATACCATCTCTATGTAATTAAGGCAGAGCAAACAGCTAAATAAAATTGTTGCTAATGACATTTACTCAATTCTATAATATGAGTCCCTGCTCTGGTCTTGGAATAAGTTAAGGATCAGCTGCTCATGAAAGGTACACACTGTAAATCTTTGTTTCAGGTAATAGGGTGTGCATTTTGTTTTTTAAGACAGCTTCATGTTAGGGCTGTGTTTAGGCTTGTATGTTTTCTTTCTCTGTCTCTGTGTCTCTGTCTTGCTCTCTCTCCCTCTCTATATATACACTCATATTTATGTATATGTATATATATGGATGCACATATATGCATACATGTAGACATACATGTATATGTACGTGTATGTGCTTTTGTCAAGTAATAATAATCAATAAAGGATAGGTTAAAACTTAGAAAAATAGGTTCAAACTTTGATTTATAGACAGATTGACCATCCACCCAGGTAGAGCATGTAATCAAGGAACTAATTTGTCCTCTTTTAACTCTTAAAATGAAAGACTCTAAAAATCAAAAGTAATCTATGAATTTTTTTTTTGGCTCTGGATGTGGAGTTAATGAAATTGTCTGAATATATATGAGGAATTTAAGGCTTCTAAACTGCTGAGCTTAAATTTAGTTAGAAATTTATACCAGTAAGAATGAGTTCCAAACAAAATTGTGCCTTCATTTATTGAACATATCATTATTTAGGAACATAATAAATTACATCAATAGGGATACCAAGACTAATGCACCATCCTGGCCTTCCAACCTAGCAGAGGAGACTAAGAAATAAATGATAACATATTGTGGACGTGTAATGTGACTCAAGGTCTTAGGGGAGTGGAGTGGAAGGTGACACAGAACACCCAGTTTGTATCAGGGAATGTTTCCTGGGAGAAGAGATGCTTGTGCAGCATCTCTTGACACCAGCTTGCGGTGTCATCCGCTAGCTAACAGGTGAGGGAAAGGCCTTCACAGTAGAGGGACTGTGCATTGTGTCCTGCAGACATGAAAGAATATGTGGAGGGAGTGCAGGTAAGTTTGAGGAACTAGAACTTAGGGTGTGTAATGGGAGGCTGAAGAGTCCTCTGAAGGAGCCCCCACTATTCCATCAGGTTTCCTCTGTGAAGACTTTCGTGACAGTTGGAGCTAGTGGTCTCCTTCTCTGTGCCCCCCTGACTTTTTGCATATTTCTATTATTGGATTTTTTACACCCAATTTAATTGTTCTTGTCTGATTTCCATATTTGTCTGGGGGATAAACAATGTCAGGACTGTCTCCCAGTTCCTATAAAACCTAGAAAACAGGAGATGTTCAATACCTGTTTATTAAGCACACACATGAATGTCTGGCTGGCTGGATGAGTGGATGTTTATGCACAGTTTGGGGATGAGAAGGTCAAGAATTGCCTTGGTTATCAAGCAACACTTCATAAAACCTTAATGGTTTCATCTTTCTGTTTCAGATTACTTGCAGCATATAATAGCCTTACTGATAAACACCTGGCTGGATATTTTAACAACACCAGGATAAGGCGGCATCTCTTAAGATCAGGGCTGGTAAGATTTGGTTCACTTTCTTCTACCTGCCCTCTGGTTTCCTGAAGTCCAATAATTCCCTCCCTTTTCTGGTTTCCTCTTTGAGCTAATCAGTGACATCCTTTCCCTCCCTCTCATTGTAGAAAAATTACTTTCTTTCCAAAGCTCTGATTTATCTTTTTGAGGCTGTGTTTCAAAAATAGGAAGAGAGGTCACAATAACTGCTAACATAAATTATTGAGGGAAAACCCTATGAGTTTCCAACAGCATATTGCACTTGTTTGTTTATTCATTCATTTATTCAATACATATTTATTGAACACCTTGTATGAGCCAGGAACTGTGAGGGATTAAGAATAGAGAAGACTTTACTGTCTTCAGGAAAAAAATATTGTTTTTAATAATCACAGAATATGATGTGGAAGACATGAGCAGTTCAGAATTTCTTCTTGAATTTTTTAAAGCTGTTTCATTTCTTGGGATGGTTTATTGATACATTAGTGTCTTTCGTTAGCTCCAAAATTATCATTTCCACAAAATTTCCATTCCTCTAAATGTATTTAATGTGAAAATCTTGTAAAAATACTATAGTTTTCCATTGAAAGAAATGGGCGTGCTTATAGAAAGTGTGGCTAATGATTTCAGCTGTTTACCTTCCTGAACCACAGTGGGTTTCCTTAACTATTGTTGCCATGGTGTTGAAAGGATATGCATTGCGTTTCTAATTGTTGTTTATGTGCTTGGCGTCTGGCTGGGTAGATCTGAGAGAGCTTGCTTTTTGTCTCCTGGGGCTTTGTTATCAGACAGACCTGGCTGAAACCTGGCTTTGCCATTTACAAGACAGAATCTTGAGCAAATCACTCACTTAACTTTCTCAGCTTCAACTTCCTCAATTGTAAAATGAAGATAATGATACCCGGCCCTCAGGATTGTTGTGGCAATTAGAGATGTGTAATAAATGGGTGTTGTAATTATTGTGGTTACTATTAACATGACTTCTTTGGATAACAATCTGTGAGCTTCACACGTAAATGGAAAGGACTTTGTATTTACTTCTCAACGTCATTAACAAGCACTTACTTAACACTGGTTATGCGCATGGCAACTCAAATAAGGAAGATAACAGCCTTTTCTCTAGAGCAGTCATTCACATATAGTCCCTGAATCAGCAGTGTTCAGCATCACCTGGGAAGTTGCTAGAAAATGCAAATTTTAGAGCCCCACCCCAGACCTATTGAGTCAGAGACTGTGGGGTGAGGCCCATCAATCTGTTTTTCAGCTTGCCTTCCCGGTGATTCTGATGCAGTTTCAAGTTTAAGAACTTCTGCCCTATGGCAGCTTCCAGTCCTGTTGGGGAGATCAGACAACTTCTGGAGGAGAGAGAACAATGACACAAAGTAACTGCAGAGGGAGCGGCAGTGCAGGACATTCTCAACACTTTATCTCAGTTGGACACACGTGACATGATAGCCCATGGACAAGACATGTCAAAGACTGAGTTATTTGTAATTCTAAGCACACTTTCTATAACCACAGGCCTCTCTTCTACTGGAAAATGTATTCATAAAAAAAGATTATCAATAACCAATCACTGGTAGCACAAGTCTAATTGATCTCAACACTCCAATATGTTGCAACAACAGTGTTAAAAAACTACAGTTATCAAAATTAAGAAATATGTGGCCTTGGATTAGACCTGAAAAGAAGAGCAGGATTTAATTAAGTGGAAAGGAGGAAGATGAACAGTCCAGGAATAACACGCTCTGTTTACAGAAGATGCAGAAAAATACAACAGATATGCTCATAGGAAAGATTAAAAGAAAATAAAAACAAGTAAATAAAAACCAGAAACTACCGCTCCTGAGACTTGCAATAATGCCAGTTGAAACCAATCTGGAACACCTTCTATCTGTGGTACTGCAGAATCTGAAAAAAACCTGAATCACAACAAATTAAATTACATTCTGGGCTGGGGAGTGAAAGAAGAAACAGCAGTATGAAAACAAAGTAATGAAGCCAATTATTTTTAAAACAAACTGATGAGAGCCTCTGTAGCTTACATGTTTTGCCCTTCAAAGTATTTCCTGTGAGATCATCCGACCTGTGATCACTGCTCCTATTCATTGTCTCAAGGTAGCACCCCACCCCTTCTTCCCAAGTGTGTTCAAAAAAAAAGAAGTGAAAAGAACACCTGGGTTCCATCAAGGGAAAATTGTTACTCTAATGAAAACCTTGTTTTCAATGTCAAGTGCACCACCTGTGTGTGTTTCACAGTGATGGGTATATGAGACTGCCTTTCTCTTTTTTTTGCCTTATGAAATATTCATTAAAAGTGAAAGTTTATCAACCATAGTGGAATACTCCTTTAGGCTTAGAAGACACTGCCATTCTCTCTGTCTGTCTCTCTCTCCCTTTTTGGTAACTAACAATACATTTTCTGCTTTGTATGTCTATGTATGTGTTATTTATTCATGACAGATCACAAGAAGTGGAAGAATTCTTTCTGAAAAAGAATACAAACTAAATATCATGAAGAGGGATCACCAAAAATATATCCGGGAATGCTTAGCCCAGGCTATTTTCCACAAGGTTCTTGATATGGAGGTACAAGTATTTATTATTTTCTTTATAACTGATATTTTCTAATATGATAGTTAACAATACTTCTCTACCCAGAAGTAGGGGAATTCTTCCTGTATTTCATAAAAAGGAAGAGAACAAGGTGACTGAGAAATACTCTGTATCTCTCTAGGTAGCGAGGAGCCGAGAGACTAAAGTCAGCTTTTCTCCGTTTCAGTTAGGGACAAATATGGACATCATTATATATTTTGTGATATTTAATTTAACAAATGCAGAGTTTTAATCCATAATGGCTACTCTAAAACATACCATCCCTCACCATCTGTACCTCAATTTCCATTTGCTAAAAAAAAAAAGTGACATCTGTTTAAATATCAGTAATTCCACTGCCATGAATTATTTCAGATTTGTTCTACTTTTAAGGCTCTGAAGCTTAGCCGTATGCTAAATTTCAAGGAATAGGCATTGAAACATCTGCTGTCCCTCCTACTTTAGGCCACATTGGTCAGCACAGATTCACAACCCAAGCACCAACACTTTTTTTAAACCTGACATGGCATTTTTAGTTGGCTATCTAGCTAACTTGATAAATTATTTTAGCCTTGCTCCATGGAACTTGTAGTTTCAGGCATCAACGCTGTTTTAGTATGTGTGCAAGAGCATGTCACTTCTTGGCTTGACCCTACAGCGGTAAATCAGGAAACTTGGCTCATAAAACCATTGACTTGTGGGTACAGTAAACATCTATGAACAACTGCGGAATCATTAATAAACCAATACTAAATGTAGGGCCACTGAAAATATTTATTATTATGTTACCATTATATTCAGCAAGTGTTGTGTTCACTTAAGATGTATATGATCTGTTAATTTAGGAATTCATTTTGTGCTTTATATCATATGCATGAATTACATAGAACCATTGTTCACGACCCCCAAATTCACTTGCTTATAAAAGTATTAGTTGGAATTCTACAACTAATGTTAATAAAAAAAGTACAGTGCTGTGGCTGGCCTGGTGGCATAGTGGTTAAGTTCGTATGCTCCGCTTTGGTGGTCCAGGGTTTGCTGGTTCAGATCTTGGTCATGGACCTACGCACTGCTCATCAAGCCATGCTGTGGCAGCGTCCCATATACAAAATAGAGGAAGATGGGCACAGATGTTAGCTCAGGGCCAATCTTCCTCAGCAGAAAGATGAAGATTGGCAATGGATGTTAGCTCATGGCCAATCATCCTCACCAAAAAAAAAAAAGCACAGTATAAAATTAATCTGTATCTAGTTTCAAACGTAATCACTAGGCACCAAGTTCTATATTAGCCCTGATCCTTGAACTTTGGTTTTCCAAAATTTCATATAACCAACACATCATAACTGTTAAATATGCTATTGTTTGAGTCTTTGTGTATTTTTAAAGTTTGGAATAAATATCTTAGATAAATGTTAGTTTGTATGCTATAATATAATTTTATGTAATATATAATTATAACATATATTATATATTAATATAATTAACAAATAGGATATTTCCGTCTAAATTGTCACATTTGTCTAACATTTAATTTATGCTGATGCTGTTTACTAATGTTGTTGTATTAATATTCATGTATTCATTCATGCAACAAACATTAATTGCAGGCTTACCACGTATCAGTATGAGGCTATGTGTTGTAACTGCAAGATACAATCAAAAAAATTCTGTAGAAAGTGATCAAATGCTAGAAGAGAGGAGCAAACAGACTGAGCTCAAAAAAGAAGGGAATGATGACTTGCCTCTGTGAGAGTCAGAGGAAGCTGAACAGAGGTCCTGCTATTTGAACTGGACCTTGAGGACAGAGCAAGACTTTACATGAAAATATGAGAAAGGCATTCCAGAGAGTGAAGGCAGCAGGTGTGAAGTTACAGAGGCGTAAAAGGGCATTGTGGATGGAAAGGAAAGCTCACTGAAGCCAGACTGCCCAGTGGGTTGGTTGAAAGAGTGGCAGGGAGTGACTCTCCAGTAAGTTGGGGCCCAATTTCTCAGGGCCTTCAATTTCCAACTAGGTTTGGAGTGTAGGGGATGAGGTGATGAAACGTGTTTCAGCAGGGGAGTGAAATAAATGAGCAGAGCTACTTTAGAAAGACGATGTTGCTAAAAATGTGGAAGATGGATTAATGAGCTGGAAAAGATTGGAGGTGGGAGGTCAATTAGGAAGCTGTTGCCAAAGGGTGTGGGCTCACAGCAGTAGTGGGAATGCTGGGGAGATGCAGCTGTCCACAGAGACATGGAAGAGAGAGAAAGACCAAAATTGACTGAATGAAGAGGGGTGAAGGGGATGGAGCCCAGAGCAACTCCCAGGTTTCTAGCTTAGTGGGTGGTGCTTGCACTGCAGGAGATCAGGAACAACACGGGCTAGAAAAGAACCTTTAAGTGGTGAAAAACGTGCTGATAGAGTGGTGTCGTGGAAGCCGGGAGGCTCTCATAAGCTGCAGAATTGTTAAATAAGATGAGCACCGAGCAAAAAAAGAAATTAGGTCTGACCCAGAGGACAAAGACGTTGGTGGCCTTGGTGAAAGTAGTTTCAGCGACGGTGAAGAGGAGGGGTGGTGGGAGTGGGTGACTGAGGCGAGTTGGAAGTACATGGAAGATGGACAATGGCTGATAGTGTATTTGATAACGAATGGTTGCGAGAACAGGAAAGAGGGAGAGAAGAAAGGGAAGTGTCAAGAAGAGGATTGATGATACTTAGATAGGGAATGAGTGAGTCTGCAGGGTCCCAAAGGCAGCGGGAGAGGATCAAGAACAGAGACAAAACACTTTTTAAAAGGGCCAAGAAGTAAAACACTTTCAAATGTGTCTAAATGATTTCAGATCGAATTGTAAGCAAATTATTTTCACATGGGGTTTATTTTTACGTTATATAACTAATATATTACAGAAAACACAAGAAAGCATAAAAAAGGAAAATAACCACATATGATCCCTCCTCTCAGAGATAACTGCTGTTAACATGCTCACATTTCCTTTTAGTCTCTATTCATATTTATACATTAATAAAAGCATTCTATGCTGTAAGAGGGACATGGTTTTGCGGGAAAACAAAACAAAACAAAACACCGAACAAACAAAAAGTTAGTGTCAGACCAAGGTTCAAATTACAGTTCCACCACTGACTAGATGTGTGACCTGGGGCAAGCTCATGATCCTCTGCCTCAGTTTCTTCATTTGTAATGTGAGACTGCTTAGCAATTAGAGTTGTTCAAGAAGAGGCAATGTACCTTCCTAGCACAGGGACAGGTACACCATATGAGCTTGATCGATTGAATTGTATTTCTGGGAAATTCTGTGTCCTCCTTTCTTCCTGCATTACATGTATTTTCCATTTTTTTTTAAACAAAATCTTTATGAATCCTGTTTTAATGATTATATTCTATTCCATTATATGAATGTGCCAAAAATTTAAGCATTCACTTTAAGGTTTATATTGCTTCTGAATTTTTGCTTTGAAGAAAACACAGAAAAAGCTTTCAGCTGGCATCTTTGTGCATAACACATTTTTGAAAAAGGTACTCAGATTTTCCCCTAGGTTTGGAAGTGAAATTTATTGGTTAAAGGGTAGGGACACTTTTAACTGCCTCATATATGTTAGGAATTGGCTTTCCAAGAGTTGTACCAATTTATATTCCCACTTGCACACTCATGCAGATGATTTTTCTCCATCTCAATGACGAGAGGGGTAACTGAGAATACAGTTAGCAGGTGGGATTATTTTCCTCTAAAAAATTCCTTGCTGTAATTGATATGATTCTCTTCTCTGTTCTTTCCTGTATGCTTAGCGTTACCATCAGCTTGAAATAAAAAAGAAACTGGAGACCTTAGCTAGGAAGGAGCGAATTCAGAGATTTAAGGTGAGGAGCGACATAACAGTCTTTTATTTCACAAAATTATTGTGTGATTTTTGAAAGCCAATGATGCTATTATTGAACTTCCTTGGGGCGCTTTACTTTTGGGTAACTCACAGTTGAGGTCAAATGATGGTTCCACCAAGCCTAAATCTTGGCCACCATTATTGCAGAAGATCATAACACAGTAGGAGCTGCCTGTGCGAAATAAGTTTTATAAGGCACAAACCTTTCAAAGGAAAACTTGAAGACATTCAAGTTTTAAATTTTGCTCTTGTATTTTCTTGAATGATATGTGATAGAGGCCAAAGGATTTTTGCCTTTTTGTCATAAGAAGATAAAAATAGGTGGTGATGTTCCCAATGTGAGGGAAAACAGGGCATTCTAAGAATTATCCAATGGCACATTTTCATGTGAACGTGACCCTCGAAAATATATGGTAGGAAAGATCTATTTTAGCAAACAAAAGCTAAGATTGAGACATTTTGTACAAGGCATTTAAAAATTCCTTGCTTGTTTTCTATTTTTGTATTTGATATCCCTTCTTCGAAGTGAGCTTATGAAGTATATAAATTTGAGTCAAGAGATGAGAGATTCAATTAGGTGTGTTTGAAAGGTTTTACTTTAGGTTGGCAGTTTTACTCAATTTCTCAAGCCATTCAAACTCACACACTGCTCTTCATTTTCTGTGTCATATTACAAATGTGGGGCTCAAGACACATTTCACAAACTGATGATTATTTGTAAAGCTTCTGTAGAATAACTTGCCATATAAGACAGTAATTTTTCCCTCTTGCCCGATAGACTCAAATCTGTCTATTTTATCACAGTCAAAAGATAATCTTGTTACAAAATGTTGCTAAATACCAGAAGATAGGTCAGTTTTTCAAGATCGGAAAAGTTGGTGCATAGAGATTTGTGGTTAATTCAACTTTGGCAATATTGTCCTACATCAAGGACTGAGTTATAGATTCTAGAATTTACTGCTGAAATTTTGATGGGGAAAAACGGTTACTGGAAATAAAGAGTGACTAGCACTGCCTGAAGCAGATTGTCAGACACACTGTGTACGTGTTACAGCTCAGGCGAAAATTCATGATGGACACTCCAGTTCCTCCTGCATGATTTTTATCTGTAACAGTTTTCACTTGATAGCTGCACTTGGTGAAAGACCTGTGTTTTATGTCTCTTTTATATAATATGCAACCCTTTTGCTGGAGGGCATTATTTAATTATTTTTCAAGGTAGAAAAGTAATGCTTCCTGGTAGTCCCTACTGATCAGGGTGATGAGGAGCGCTGTGCTTCTTGCAGCGATCTGCTTAAAGCAGATTAATAAATATTATTGCAAAATTGAGGATACACTGCTTCCACAGCTATTTCTTTGAGTACAGCTATTTCTTTGAGTAAAGCAGACTCAATTTCCCGCCTTTCACTACCACACCCAACCCCCCAGTATAGCTATGAAAACTTCTTCGGTCATGATAGGTCTCACAAGGAACATTTTTCACAGTAATGAGAAAGGACTTTTTAGGCATATAGTATCTCTTACCTGGCAGGTACTAACCTAACCTAGATTACTAATTATGCATCAATTTGTTAAATCACTTTCTTATTCTAGGGAGAGCCCACAAGATGGTCTATAGAAAGCAACATGCCAATCCTGTCTCCCCGCCCGCCACTTGGCCCAAAGACCAGCCGTGGCCATAGTGTTCTGGTTGATGAAGGACATTGCAGTCCAATAGCACTGGTGAGTTGTATTAAACACTCTGTCCTGCACTATCCCGACTAATTGATTTATAATTTCTTATCACTCTTAGAAAGAATGCTCTCTGGGTACATGTCTGTATAACCCTGCGAATACTACTGAATGAAAACATAGTCTTGCATCTGTTCACCTCTGTCTTTACTGAACATCCCACCTCTAATCAATGTCACCTCTGTCAAATCCATTTTGCTTGTTACTGCGAGGTTTGTTTTCTTGAAGTGCAGATTGCTTATGACACTTACATGCCCAAATACCTTCACAGGCTCTGTCACCTATAGAAAAGCCCAGACTCTCACCTGACATTTAAGACCCTAAACCATATGACCTCAGTTTAGCTATCCCCACGATTACCCTTTTGCACCCTACAATGCAGCAAAAATGAACCACTGGTTGTTCCATACATGTTCTATATTTTCTGATCTCTAGATTTCGTTCTTGCTGTTCCTTCTACTCTCGCCTCATTTGTAAAGCTTTTTTATGCACACAAATTCAGTGGTACTGTGTAGCATTTTGGCCAGATCTTTTATCAAAAGTATGTGTACATACTCTAAGATAAAAATAATTAAATGTACCAAAATTCCATTTAAAGAAATTGCACACCAATGTTTCATTCCAGTTTGCTTCATTTATAACCTAGAGGTGGTATTTGCTTGAAGGTAAGGTAGCTTCAAACAATACAGATACAGGAAAAGATCTGCAAAATATTTGCTGGAGGTTGATGGTTTAAGTTGTAAATGAATTGCTTGATTACGTCTTTATTCTTGCTTTGTGTAGCCTAATATATTTCCTTGTTAGCGTGAACATTTTTTTGGATTGCACAATATTTATAGAAAAATTGCAGTGCTTTCACAGATTGATGAAGTAGGTTTGTCACATATATGTAGTGTTAAGCTTTGACATTTTTCAAAAGGTAAATATGTTTTGACATTTCCCAATGAACAGCACAAGTTAGGAAGAGCAACTCTCTTCCCTTTGTTGTTACCATATTTCCGGGCTTCATTTAAATGGATATGTACACACATAATTCTTTTATTTGCTGGCAAATTCACTAGACTCTGAAAAGCTTAGCCTGGTGAAACAAGAGAAACAATCAGGTGTTATTTTCTATCTTCCCACCTGTTTCAGGGAGGAAAACCCTTGAAAGGCTTTCTTTTCAATTTTCTAGTTGAACACCCTCAATAAGTAGTTTATGATACATCCAGGAGATCTTAATGTGGCAGGAGTGAGAAGGTAATTTAAAAATTACGGGAAACACTGACACCAGCACTTCAGAAGCCTTTCGCTCTGGTAAGCTACGATTCTTCACTTGGTCCCCCTATGGTGCTTCTGCACCGTAAGGGATGCCTATTGTGATTCTGGAATCGTAGTTCCCATTTTACAGAAATTCACGTTCTCCTTTGTGTTTTCCCAACCTGGATACACATCCTTTAAATTTAACTCCTGTCCTCCAAGTGCCATTGAGATGAAGATAATAATCCTTTTGGGATGTTGTGGCCATTTTTCTCTTTTAACTTTCTTAAATGAATAAGGAAAGCATCCCATGAATAGTTATTGTGCTTGGTCACTAATTGCACCTAAACTTTGAAAATAGCATATAGGCTTTTAGCTGCACTGTTCCCATTAAAACTGTGGAAAATCATTCAACTAATTCTGCAGATGCTTGGCAAATTCACCCCCAGAGATCTTCTACTAAGAATTAGAAATGCTCAGCTAAGCTCGGTAATCACCAGGTAGTCAATTTCAATTCACAGCCTTGTACAGTTTTGAAAATGTTAAACTACAATGTCATATTTATTCCAAGAAAATATATTACGAATGATTTAAAATACAGCAAATTTAAGGTGGCCTCTGATGTGAACTACAACAGTTTGTAGCTCATAGCTGTTAGTTGAATGGTCCAGATTTGTTTTGGACCATTTGAATGGTCCAGATAAAGTAATCAGTTAAACATTTGACTGCCATATTCATCTAACTGAATAATATCTGTATGCAAATGTGGCGAAGGGAAATTTCGAGCCCAGCAGACAATAGATCATGTTCTAGTTTGTGGTAACGTGCTTTCTTGAATTCCTACATTAGATTTTCAATGTTTTTGTGTTCAGTTGGATTATTTGACAGGAGAGAGTCTTAGACATATTTGTTTTACAGAGTTCAAAAGAATTCTTTTGGTTGCTCTAATTCCCTTGTTCAGAAACCTCTCGTTTGATTTCTCTTTGTGGGTTTAAAGACATTTCACCTTTTGGCTCCTGTAGTCTTATGTCCTGTTTCTTTAAATCCAGTGCTGCTCTAGTGAATCCACATGGCTTTCTGTATTGGTCATAACATAGGTTTGTGTGCAGAGACCCAAAATAACAATGACTTAAACATAAGGATGCCCTCCCCACCCCAACATGCATATGTGTCTCAGCTTGTGTGGCATCTCTATTATATGAAGTCACGAAAGTTCAGACTCCTATTGTGTGATTGATCTGCCAAACTTAGTGTGTTGCCATCATCTACATAAGCCAAGATGGTGTATCACTATGTGGATATTTCAGCCAGAGGGAAGGGGGTAAAGCGAAAGTGATAGCACAGTTTTTCTAAGGGCATGATCTGGAAGTCTCACGTATCATTTCTGCTCACATCTTATTGGCCGAAACTGAGGCATACATATATACAGATTTGCAAGAGATGCTGGGAAATATAGTCTTTATTTGTGAATTTGTGCCATATTACCTGATAAAAATTCTGTTACTAGGAAGAAAGGAAAACAGACATTGGGGAATATTGTCTTTGCTACTCTTCTCATGTCTGGCTCACAACTGCTCTCTTCTTACTCGGATATTCAAATTTCCCATTCTTCTTCTCTGCTCATCCATTTTCTTCTCTTGCTCATCCATTTGGATAAAATATAACTGCTTCTTTGAAACTTTAATTTTTACTAGTCTCACTGGCTTATTTCAAATAACTTTTAGTTCTAAGTTCTTTTAGTTCTCAGGTATCTTGTTATCGTCTCTTTGGCAGTATTAGCGTAGTTCATTAGGCATTAATTGTCTTATGTCACTATTACATGTTAAAAATTACTTTTTCATCTCCTCATCGTTGGAATCCAACAAATGTTGACTTAACAAAATCAGAGATTTAGCAACATATGACGTGCTTGTCAACATGGCACTAAGACTGATTTTTGGTGGTAGGAGATGCCCCATCATCATTATTTCTGTATTTACACAACACTTTTCCAGAGTTGAATATTTGTCGTTCACCATTCTTTAGAGTCAATGTATTACACCTTATTCACAAATCATTTATATACCATTCTTCTCACATCCTCTTGCCCAAATACTCATGTAATATTAACAGGTTTTCTACTATTTTATTGTAATTGAACAACTGGGCCAAAAGCCTTGTTTTTTTCCACTTTTGAAACATTGCTGATCTTTATACTACAGTTACAGTGTTCTGTCAGTGCCCCAAAAGGCACTTCTAATTCTCCATACTGGCACTTTTGGTATTCTCTGCAGTACAGTCTTGATTAGAAAATGCATCAGTCAGGGTCTCAGCAGGAAACAGATGGCTCACACAAATAGGGTAATTAGGAAGAGTTTAATAAAGAAACTATTTGCAAAGACGCAGGCTGGGTTAAGGAAGACCAACTAGGGATGTTAAGCATGCTGGGGTCAGCAAAATGGGAAAGAACACCATGTCGGCCTAAGAGGGAAAAGGAGGGATTGATACTAGAACCAGCAGGCAGGACTTGTAAGCTGGGAGAGGACTTCCTGGTAGGAGCTTTGGACTTTGGTAGAGGGACCTGGCTGGCCCATCATGACCTTGGTGGGAAGGGTCAGGAGAATTAAGACCCCAGTCTCATTCCCTTCTGTCTTTTGATCTGCCAGTGCCTTTCATTGGCCAAATCCAACTGGAATCCTGAGGTTAGCTGGTGTAGTCCATAAAGAAATGACTCCCAGTGGCCAGAGCAGGGCAGAGAAGGCAGAGAAGAGGGGCAAATGGAAAATATCCAGCCTGGAAAACATCTCCATTTTTACACAGTGTTTCCCAATGTTGCCAGTTACTAGTTTTCGTTTTTGTTCTCCTAATATTTCAAGGAAGAGGTTGAATAAATGGTACTACATTACAGGTAAGCATCCGCCTTTCATCTTTTTGAATCACATTGTCTGCTTTTATTTTAGCACCAATCTTAAGACTTAAAGGACTCACAGTAGAATTTATGTTGAAAACATTTAAACAGAAATGAGTCCATTCCAATCATATCCCTTTAGATCTCTAACATAGGAACATTTTTCAACTTAACATTTAATTGAGCAAAGCTATTCTATGCACAGCATAAATTACTTGTCAGCGAGTTTACAGTATGAATAAAACACAGAGAACATCTCCTTTGTCTAGAATACTCTATAATTGTGGCATTTAGTTATGTAGAGGACTTCCACGCCATATGTTTTAACAAATACTTTGGGTCATAAGGGTATGTATAATGGAAGGACATAATTAAAGTTTAATCTGTTCAGTAAAAAGGCACCATTAATTACTCTAGGCAATTTGTTGGTTATTAATTGGTTCTGGAAACATGTCAAGATACTAATTTAAATGGAATTTTTTTCCCTAATTGTCTAGACAGTCCCTCGACCATACACTGCCCCAGGAAATATGCAGCCTCCAATTCGATTACAGCCTCTTCCCAGTAATCCTGCAGTAGGAACTGTTCCAAAGATAACTTCAGGATCGAGATCAAAAGCCTCATTGCTGGAAAATGAAGCTCCATTTCCCATTGGGGTAAATGTTATTTCTTTAAGAAATATCTTTTTATTCTTGATTACAGTATTAGATTATCACAGTTTTAAGATGCCAGATTCAATTAATCTACTCAGTGAAATTTATATTGTGCATTTATTGAGTACTTACTGTGTATTTCTGTTTAATCATATCTTAGTCTAACTGGAAGGTCTATAATTTCTGTATTATTGGGCAAGAAGAGTAAGGAATAGGTTTGTAAGATATAAGCTGATCTCTCCTGAATTTGAAGGTTTATATGAAAGACAGAGGAACTTTTTAGAGTCAGATATGACTTCTATCAGAAAAGACCCAGTGTTGACTACTTCCAAATTTTAAATGCATGAAACCTAGAAAATGAAACTTTCCAAGAATAGGTTTGCATTTGCATGCCGACTGACTTTACCATCAGTGTATGAAATTGCTGCAAGTCTGACTCTGGAGAAGGTTGGATATGGAAGGAAAAGAATGTCCATCTCTAAAAAATGCTGAATTAATCATACACAGGAGCGTGACTCTGCTTCCTTGTCAAGGTTATGTCTCAGGTAATTTTTACTTATTTTAATAGAGCACAGGAAGAAGGTATGGTAACGATCAAATATGAGTTATTTAAGCAGCGAGGAATAATTAGGACATTCAGTAATTAGGGAGGGTATTGTTTGTATCTCTAACACGAAGACGAAACATTTGCCAGCTTAAGAAAGAACCTGTGTCATGACTGTAATTGTCATTATGTTCAAATGAGTGAATTTAATTCTATTCCTTATTAGGAAACATAAGACATATGAAATTAAGATATTTTTATCTAAGACTGACAGATAACCTTGACACTAAGAAATTAATTCAGACAAATAAATGATTGTGTTTCACAGTAAAAGTATAAATATAACTCTAAAAATGATAACTAATATTTTAGTCCATTTAATATGCTTTTCAGCTTGTGAAGCAATTTTTGCAAACCTTATTTTAGTTAATTTAATAGTAGTTTCTCAGAAAGCAGGAGAAATTAAGCCAAAAGTGTGGCACTTTGTCTAGGGAAGACTACTTAGAGCTGGGCAGGAACTTGTTGGGTCAAAAGTCAATTAGGTTGACACTTTCTAGGATCTGGTCTCTACTTTGAAGGCCCAGAGATTCTAGCTAGTGTCCAGGAATGGTCAGGTCCTGAGAGACTGTCTCAGACTCACTAAAATAACTCACAACAAGCTCATTTTCCCCCTATAGTAAGCCAAAATTTGGAACCAAATCATAATCAGGAGCCATTAATTCACCAGATATTAAGTAATCAAAGCTGGTAGAAGCCGTGCATTTTCCCCTGGAGACAGACCTACATGGGAAGCCAGATCACAATGAGAAGGTTGCCTGGTGAGCATGGAATCAGAATGAGGGGATATGGTGGAATGGAATGTTAATGCATCAGGCTAAGATGGCTTGATGCATCTATCTCATCCTAGGAATGGGCTTGCCAAAGGTACCAGAAAACTCAAAGATCTTTGGCTAAAACCCTGTGTATCCTCTAGGGATAACTTTGCCATTAGGACTAGAAATATTCCAAGTCCAATGGTTAGGATCTCCTGTCTCCTAGATAGTACTCAGATGGGCACTTTCCACACTTGCCAAGGTGATTACATTCTTTTCTAAGATCCTATAAGTATTAACTCCACTTTGATAGACACATTTTCCTGTTAGATATGTGAATACTATCAATCAGGTAATATTCAAATTCTGCTGGCTAGAGAGGGATTTTTTTTTTTCTTCAGGTGATTTTCCAAATCTGCTCTGAGCCACTGGGTGGATTTGTTAATTAAATCTGCACAGGGCCTTTTATTTTCCTGTTTTCAAGTTTTGGCATGTGAGTGACTGAGGGATAAGCACTTAATGGTGGCTTATGTGAGCTGACAGGACTGGGATCAATTCCATGTTTATTTAAACTAGCTAAACTTATGCATTCCATTCAGTAAAGATTTATTGGGCACTCACTATGGATTAGGTACTGCTCTAGGCATTGGTGATATATCAATTATCGAGGCAGACAAATGTCTCTAACTTATTGGAGCTTATCCTGCAAAGTACATAGGCAAAATATACTGCCAGAAAAGATATGTAATTTTTTCAATGTCATTGATGACGAAAATGATTTAAAATAAAATCAGACAAGAAATTCCTAAAGAATAGTCATCTGCATGATCACTGAGTATGTAGTGGGCACCCACTAAATTCTTATCGTTTTCTTAAAAAGTAAAGGCTATGCATGTGGGAATTGTTTGAATGTGCAACAGATATAACCAGGTTGACCTTTCTAAGTATCAGGAGTGAGGATCTTTGACTTAGGCAAAAGCAATTTGGTCAAAAAACAGGCTGGTTGAGATGCAGTTGAGTAAAAATAATGACCTGATTGAAAATGATATCCTTAGAATGAGGGTTTCTTGTACACTGTTGATAGGAGTAGAAATTGGCACAACTATTTGTGAGGGCAATATTGGAATGTCCATCAACATTTTAAATGAACATGCTCAAGCATTTTAGCATATAGGAATTTATCCTCGGAATACACACGTATGTGGAAAGAAATAGATTCAAGAGTATTTAGCATTATAATATTTGCAATAGTGAACAACTGAAAGACATCTAAGAATTTAATAGAATATTGTTTAAAAATGTTATAGTATATTAAAGTATGTTAAAAATATAAGGTAGAATTATTTACACTGGGATGGAAAGATGTCCAAGATACTTTGGGCTAAAAAAGCAAGGTAAGGAAGAGCATGTTTTTAAAAAATTTACTAAACCATTCCCAAATAAGGCATGCAATTGACTGATAACTACTTAGAAATTAAAAAAAAAACAAAACAAAAAAAACTCCAAGTCCCAAAAGTTCTAGATTCATTGATTTTATTGTTCTTATTATTTTCACTTCTTTAATTTATATTTGTTATTACAATATCAATGTATACCATCACGGAAAAATTGGAAAATGTAACAAAAGAAAAACAACATAAATAACACCTGCAATATCAACCATTCTAACAATTCTAAACTCCTTGGTGAATATCTATGTAAATCCCTTTCTGTTCACATAAATGTTGTTTTCAATCCAAGTATGGACTACACATGCCTTTATTTAACTTGTTTTTACTTATTTAGCAATGAGAAATGTTTGGAGAATGACTTCCTTTTCTTAAAAATAACTTTTCGCTTTTTAAGCATCTCAAAATAAAGAATAAGTTGGTTGAAAATTAATTTAAAATCATACCAAATAAATTTGTATAAAATGGATAAAAATGATTAAACATGCCTTAAGGTTTGAAAAACTATCTCAGATACGTAAAAATTACCAATTTGTGAAAATTCAGACTCAAATATACCTGAAAAATGTAATATAATTATTGATTATACCTTTGGTGATTTTTAATCATTAAGGTAACACATGTTGATTAAACTTTCAATTAATACAGAGATATATAAAATGGAAAATGATATACCCCCAATAATCCAAATGTCCAAAGGCAACCCCCTCTTCAAAGTCTTCCAGTCATCCTTGATTTTCCCAAAATCCACATATCAATTATTTAAAAGAAATGTATGATCACACCACATGGACCTTTTTATGTCAGGATGAATAGATTCACATCATTCTTTTTAAAGCCTGGTGAGAATCTATTATAAGAATAAGGCAAAATTTAGTTAAATATTCTCCTATTGGTGGACTTGATGGTTCAACTAAATTTATTATACGTGTGTGTGTGTGTCTGTATCCTTGTACACATTTGCATCAGTATACTTGTGTAATTATCTGGGTAAGATTTATTTCTACAAGTTGAATTGCTAGGAGAAAATAAGCTATGTAGAATCTTTGGGTCAGCATCTAGGTTTGGTTCCTTGATATTATATTATCAAGGAATATTATAATACCTGGATGGGTGAAATCAATGTGAAAAAAGTAGTAACACCCCATTGTTAAGTGGACTATCCAACTCTACGTCAAAGTACAACACTTCAAACTTCTTGATTTTAAATTGTTTAATCATACTGAGTCCCCATAGATTTAATGGGTTGTTGAGAAAAAATGTCAAAAGTATATAAAAATGCCATCACTGTATGTTTGGTTTAAAAATATACTTAAGTAAAGTTGGAAAGTCATGAAAATTTAATTTGCTATGGATACTACAAAATGCCATTTTTCAACAGACTGGAATGTTTTGAGTTTCCCTATTGATATCAGTTGTGTTTTGCAATGTCAATCATACAATCTTGTCTTTAAATTTGGGTTATGTTGGGTCACCACTTCTGTTTCACTGGTTCTTATGTCATAAAATGTGATTACAGGGCAAGAAGGCAGTGATGAAGTTCAGGAACTCCATGGACAATTCACAGGGAATGAATCGATATCAATTTCCGAACATTAACAACTACATGATGCCTATTCCTCCTTCACCTCCTCCCACCAAAGGAAAAATCACAAGGGAAAATAGACCTGAAACATGGAGAAGGAGAAGATTTCGTCCAGTCACTGCTCCAAATGGCTTAGAACCTCTCTTTACCAAGGTGATTATGGAATCAGGTTTCCTTTTGTTGATTTGGCACAGATTACATTGCACTATTAGATTTCTGGACATGCAGTCAAAGGATCTAGGGAAATCAAATGCAAAATGTTCTGCATAAAGAAATATATTAATTTTATAAATGTAATTGTAAGCTTGAATGAATCTGAAACCTAATATTTGAGTAGTTCAGTTGAATAACTAATTTAGCACAATTGATTAAAAATCCAGCAAATCTTATGGTCAAATTGAGTTTGTACTCTACCCATTTCCAAATTATTTATTTCCTTTAATTTGCCCATTCAATCACATGTTGTCAGAAGTATTTTAACATTGAATTTGTGAAAATTCAGGGACTTACATATACCAAAAAAAGAAAATAATATACCATATAAAATACCTTATTAAAGGTTACTTTTAGTGATTTTTGGCAAATTACTGTATAATATTAAGAAAAATTCTTCTTTCAGTGTTCTTCAAAAATATTGTAGTTCGTTGTACTCATTTCCTCAAAATACTGATAAAGAAAAGAGTCCTAAGGGCAGTTAGACTTTATACAGATACAGGCTAGTACAAAGGCAAAAGATCTCTGAATTTTTATTGCATAAATATACAACAAATAGTAGTTAAATGTAACTTTTGTGATTATTAGCAGATAGCTGGGTCAACATTTCATTGATGGAGAATCAGGGAGTGAGGTACCAACATGCACATAGGCTGCATGCTGCCTCTTCAAAACCAACCTCACTCTTAAGTGCTTTATTTACCCCTTGTCCACATCTCACTCCCAGCGTCTATCCTCGCCAATAACCTCAAAAAATGGGGACTATCTTTCTCACGCGTGCTCAGATTTCCTCCTTTCAGTTCTATTTGCACCAATTCTCTTCCTTTATTACAGTCTTTGGCAGAGGACTGTATCCCTCATCTCTGAGGCCCATCCTCTGCCCTGTGTCCTTGATCTTATTCTTTTCCACTGCCTATGGGATACCAACACCATAATTCTTCTCTCTAATTTGGATTTTCAGCCCCCCTCTCATATTCATCTCTGTCTTTCAACACACCCAGGTCTTATATAGAGTAACCAAATCCTTTCCTCACATTCTGTAGCCTTAGACTTCTGTTTTCTTCTTTCCCACTGCAGAGTTCCTGAAGCGTAGTTTACTGTAACTTAGTCTAACACACAACCCCAAGCACCTCAGCTGACAATAACAACGGTTTCTTTCTTGTTCTCATTATTGTCTGTTGTCGGTCAGCTGCAGTTCTGGGACCAGACTGGAAGAGTGGTCCCTGTCTGGGGTATGTTGGCCTCATGGACAGCAGAACCATGGAATGCATTTAAGATTCCACTCAGGAGTGACACATGTCACTTAGACTTGAACTCCATTACCAAAGCCTGCCAGTAATGGAGTAGAAAGTATCATCCTCTCACAGACAGGGACAGTAATATTTGGGGCAATGACAGAATCCACCACATCCACTAACTTACTTTTGAACTCCTTGCCTGCTGGCATTGGTCTTCACCAGGCCGACAAACATGCTCTCCTGAAGGATGTGGCCCCCACTTAGCAAAAGCAGTGATTTCTTCGTCATCCTCACTTGGTGGCAGCATTTGATTTCCTGATGTTAAAATTTATTACTGAGATAAACTCTACCTGGTCATACTTTTTAAAAAAAGTTTAAATATCTCATAAACACTAAGAAATATAAAATCTATATATACAAGTTAAACAACAATAATCAAAAAAACCCCAAACTTCAGAAATAAGCTCAAACCTAGTATTGTAATGAAGGGACAATATTTCCAGAAGAAAATAAGCTGAACAGAGTTTTTGGGTCATAGTCTGGGTTTGGTTTCTTGAGAGTTTTAAAAGCCCCTTCTGGGGAAGTCAGAGACACCAGGTCGTGAGTGTGTCCTAGGAAAATGGGGCTCACCAGAGTCAGGGCATCTAGTGAGGTCCCAGTGTGGGCCAGCCACTGGACATCCGGCAGGAATATGGTCAGGGAAGTGGGCTTCTGTAGATGGGCACAGAGGAACGAGCAGCAACTTCTCCATTCTGTGGTCATGACAAGTGAGGCACAGATAAGCATCTGAGGCAGCTTCCCCTGGGCATTCTGCCTTCCTGGTGTCAGCAGGCATCCTGGCTTTAACAGACCTTAGCAGTCTGTCTCTTGAGTCACAAGGCTTTGGTCTAACTTGGTCGATTTTTTGTTTTTTAAACTTCTGTTCTCTCTTTTTGAAATCTCTTTTTTGGGAATGTTGGAACTACTAGACTGATGCTCTAATATTCTTAGCTTTTCTCTCCTATTTTCTACCTCTGACTTTTTGTTCTATTTGCTGGGAGATTTCTACAATTTTATCTTCCACACATTCTACTGAGTTTTTTCTTCTGCTGCCTTATTTTAATTCTAAGAACTCCTTCTGTGGTCACTGAGTGTTACTTTTAAAAACCATCTTATTCTTGTTCTGTATGATTTTGATTCTTTGGTATTTGTGGAGACTTGCTTTGTGGGCTAATATATGTTCAGTTTTTGTAAAGAATGTGATTCTCTAAATGTTGGGAGAAGAGTTCTATAAATGTCCATTAGATAAGAAATGTAAATTATGTCATTCATATTTTTACACCCTTAGCATTCTTTTTTTTCTGCTTGATCTCTCAGCTCTTGAGCTCTAATGATTATTCACTCTCTGTCATTGTAGATTTGTCAATTTCTTCCTATAATTATGTCAAGTTCTGTTTTGTAAATGTTGAGAATACCTTGTTATATGCCCTTGGATTTAAGATTACTCTATCTTATTGGTGAAGGGATTCTTTATCATTAAAAAATGATCCTCTTTGTCACATTACTTTTTGGCCTTAAAATCTATTCTGTCTAATAGTACTTATTTTCTTTAGATTAGTATTTAACTGGTATATATAGATATTCCTTTTACTTTCAGCCTTTTGATGTCTTTACATTTAAGCTTTAGGTTTTAATTGTTTTTGTATAGCATATGGGTGTTCTGTGTTTAAGCTGACAGTCTCTGTTCCTTTAATAAACAAGTTTAGTCCAATTACATTTATTTTATTTAGTAGTATATTTAGACTTACTTGTGCTATTTTACTGTGTATTTTCTGCCTACCATGATTTTTTTTGATAGTAGCATTTTATGCTATTATTGCCTCTTCCTTGAAACTTTCCTCTCTTGCCTTCCATGGCACACTACTTTCATGGTTCTTTGCTATCTCCTTTTGCCTCTTATCTTGCTCCTTTGTGACTCTTCTTTGTCTTGACTAGCTATCATCATAGGCTTAGACCTTGACATTTGTTTTTCTGTTCAAGATGTAGTCATCTTTGCACATGGCTTCAATAGCTTTCTAGATGTCTCTTGGATTTGTCACTAGCTCCTGGGTCCTGGGGTATAAAATACAATTGGCACAGTGTGGCAAGTTATGCACTTTACTTTAGTACTTGGATTTATTTCATTGTGATCTAGAAAAGATTCATTTAAGGAGAGGTGGCTCTCATGACTAATTTACACATTAAATTCAGTCTTTCATTTTATGACTACCACCTCCACAGCATCCTTAAAATGCTCTTAAAAGAAAGAGGTAAAAGGCAAAGAAATATGGCTTGCTGGAGGAACCACCTGTTCCTCCATGAATGTGTAGAACATGGTCCCTGGCTTCTGTGATCTCTGTTTCCAAGGGATGATTGGTGGAGCCAAATGACAAAGTGTGGTAGATCTCACAGCCCAGCATGTTGCTTCTGAGCCTGTTGCTTTGTTTCATTTTGTTCCAAGTCCTGAAGAGCTTTATACAGCTTTTACGGAATCTATGAGACTCGTTAGATTTTGCTCTGAGGTTTGCCTCACCCATCTGCAGATTTTTGTGTTCTTACTCAGGATTGCTGGTCACCTACCCTACATAGCAGCCTACTGAAAATGTGGATGGTCCCATAAATAGTGTTTATAAATGTGAAAATACAGGCTTTCAAATAAGAACCTACTTATTAACCATCACACCATACCATGCAAGGCCACATTATGTCTATCAATTAAAAAAACAAAACAAGTTTGTTTTAATTTTGTATATGTTTTGTAAAAGAGAGGACAAAGAGCTTCTCCAGGCGGGAATTAGTCTGGGGCTTTCTCCGTATCTGGTTGAGGCCCCCTACCCACTTCCTAGACTCCAAATGAGCCCTGTGCAATTACAGATGCCTGATTGGTAGGTCCTATTGCCCCTCAAATTTGACATGGTTACAATTTAAGCCAGCTTTCCCATTCAATTGCTTTATTTCTTATAAAGCATGACCTTTTCTCCAGTAATTTGGGCTCAAAATCTAGGATTCCTTCCTTCCTCTTCATAACACATTCAGGTAGTTGCTAAGTCCTCCAGATCAGAGATGTCCAATAGAAAAAAATGCAATTCACATATGCAATTTTAATTTTCTAATAGCTACATTAAAAAAGGTAAAAAGAAACACGTGAAATTAATTTTAATATATTCTATTTAATCAAGTATATCCAAAATATTATCATTTCAAGAGGTAATCAATATGAAAAATTTTAATAAGGTATTGCACATTTTTTTAATACCATGTCTTTAAATTCAGTATTTTATACTTAATGTATTTTATACAACACATCTCATTTGAATGAGCCACCTTTCAAGTGCCCAACGAACAAATGTGGCAAGTAGCTGCTGTCTCAGATGGCACAGCTCTAGCACCTTAACAATGGCTCGTGAATCTGAGGATCCTTTTCCATTCTCACTGCTACATCTCCACTTGAGGGGCTTGCTACCTAACTCTTAACTGGGCTACTGAAATCATCTACGTACTTATGTCCTGCCTCTAAATCCACAAGTAGCTCAATTCAGCTTTTATTAATAATGGTAAGCACTATGCTCGGTGCTGAGGTTACCAAGATGAATAAGACCAAATTCTTGTTCTCAGTAAGATTGCAGTTTAGCAAGGAAGACAGAAATGTCTACAATTATCCATGATGCATTGTGATGAGTACTATCGTACTGGTATAAATAAAGCACAATGAGAACACAGAGGAAGGAAATATTAGTTCTGACTGAGGAGATTGGAGAATGCTTCAGAAAAAAAGTAGCATTTGGAATTGCCTTTGAAAGATGAGTAGCAAGTTAGCAGGTAGAATCAGGGAGCAGAGGGTAAAAGGCAGTAAAGGGAAAAAAGAGTAAGGAAAGTCCATCTCAGTATTGGTAGATTCTACATAATGATGTTAAATTAAACGTTGTAGAATAGCTCCCAACCTGCTCCTCCCCTGCTTAGAACTTTCACTAGCTCCCTCTTTCCTAATGAAAGCAGGTATATTCTTCTGCCTGGCTGTTTTAAAATGTAGGTTTTATTATTATTCAGCTACTTTGAGACCTATAGATCAGGAGACGACTGCCATTGAAAAGGCAATTTGTAACTTACAGTTCCCAAGAGGAGGGGGCACGCCATGTATATTAGTCAGGGTTCCATCCAGAATAACGTATGACCACATATCTAGGCACCATGGCCCAGCTAAGTTGATAGATAAAATTACCCATCACACCACACCACTCAGGGCCACACAGGGAAGCACCAGCGTTGGTCAGGAGGCTGAGGGAGTGGGAGGAAAACATGGGCAAGAACCTTTGTTGTGGTTTCTGAGGGAAGGGATGGGCAAGGCAAGGTAAACAGGTTTAGGATTGGATAGCATGAATAATTTTGGCAGGCTCTGGAGTGTAGGGGCTGTCTTGAGTTGTCTGGTACCTGGTTCAGGGGTGAGTAGGGCAGAGGAACATTGGCCCAGAGTGTAAGATCCCAATAGCAAAATCCAGCTGGAAAATTTCTAGTTCTTAACAGACTTACTGAATTCATTCTGTGGAGGGAGATGAGAAAGGGAAGGCTCATGTGTCAACTCAGCATCCTCAAAATGTAGAGCTCTGATACCTCCAGGACTGACGTGTTTGGGGGCATGTCCGGAATAAGCATGAGATATGGGTTACACAGTAGTAAGAAAAATGGGCAAGAGGAAAGTGAAAAGAGGAAGCATAGTAAAAGCAAAGGAGGAAGGAGGAGAGAACAAGGAAAAGCCAGTGAGAAAGAGAAGAACCAAATGAGTATAGTGAGGAGAGGTTTCCATTACAACCAGCTCCTCCTGGACCTTTAGGATGTGAACATTGAGCACTCGTCCTCTGGCTCCTGTCAGAATTTTCTCTTCCTAACACCTGAATCAGAGTCAACACGGGAACTGCCTGCCACTCTCTATGGTCGGATTTTCATTAATCTTTATCAAGGCTCATTCAGCAAGGGTGCTGTTTGTTGAACAGGACACTGTGAATCAGTTTCATGTTCTGGTGCTTATTGAGTTCCTGTAAATGTAGAAAGCTTCTGATTTAGGGCAGGGTCAACCCTACTCTAGCTTTTGTCTCAGCAAAGGGTGGAATGTGGAATACCTAGTTATTCCATGCCTGTGTCCAGTCAGATCAATGTTTGTGAGGCCCTTACTAGGTGTCAGCATAGGCAAGACGCTGAAGGCTTAAAGATCAGAGAGACACTGTCTTTATCTACTGAGAGAGAGAAAAGGAAGGAAATAGTTTCAATACCATGTGACTCATACAGTTACATACGCCTGGAGATTTAAAACATGTTGATAGTGTTTGGTCCACTACAATTAGTTCTGTCGCTGGATCTTTAAATGTAACACAAGGAATGGCAATAGTTGAGAGACAGTAGCTTAAAGAATGTAAGACATTTTATGTTGTCTGAGGAATGTTGGGCCTCATCCCATGGATATTGGGAATCATTGGAGGATGTTAAGCAGGAGAGTCATATGATCTATTTAGTGACAACAGATCACTCTGATATCCAGGAGGAGAGAGATTTTGAGGGACATCAGGCTAAGAGTGGGGAGACCAATTAGTAGGGTGACCATACATCCCAGCTTTCCTGGAACAGTCCAGATTTATGCTCTTTTTTCCTAGCATAAGCATAATTATTAGTAACACCTCTTTTACTGTGTGTCCCATTTTGGATGATAAATTCTATGGTCACCGTACTAACTAGAAGTTTATTGCAGCAGTCCAAGTAAGACTTTATGATGTCTGGAGTTCATCAGAGCTTGGACAAGTGGATAGAGAGGAGTTGCTGTCAACAAGAACAGGCACTTTGACACCTAAACAGTCTCTTACATCCACTCATCACACAGTCCTGGGCAAGGATAAAAGAGACCCCAGTGAAAACTTAGTATATCAGTTGAATGCTGAATATTACAAATATATCGTGGCTGACTGGTTAATCACTCAATGGGCTTGCTGTTGATTTGTCAGCTCAGGTTGTACTTGCCTGAGAAATCTGAAAAGAAATGGGAAGGAAAGTCATAAGCAACTGGTGAAGGAAGTAAGAAAGACAACCTTTAGTTGTATAGGGGCATGAGGCCTTGTTCTTGTTCTTGAAATGGAACTGAATTGTCATGGAAGGTTTTCATACTTGCTTGAGGACAGCAGAAAGGGCCGTGAAACTTTGTTAAATTTCCTCAGTCTGGGGTCATTATAACTTGGAAGATGGCACGTATAGAGGCAATTTAGTCAACTGAAAGAAACAATTGTTCCTTTCCTAGTGCACATATTTAATCACGAGCTGTCACTTAGGCCTCCCTTAGAACCCAGAAAACGTTACTTGGTGGCAATAATTGGGGAATATTTTAAAAAGAATGAAGTAACTAGACCCAGGAGAAAAGAGACGTTGCTATCAGGAATACACTTCAGCGGAAAAAAACTATGAATGAGTAAATGAAAACGGTGAAAGCTGTCATTTCCTTTATTTTAAACACTCTTCCTTCCAGTTTCTCATTTTGTACATACGAGGCAGGCCGTTCCTCCACTCTAATCCCACCATTACCTTGTATTTATATAGTGCCTGTCTCCCAGAAGCTCACAGGGCTACCTCTGAATCCATGCCACTTTAGAAAGTATTGCTTAACAAAAGGGGGATGCTCTTATTTAATCCATCCTATCATTAAATGTTCTGGTGGGAGCCCTGAGCTGGGTTTGTCTGGGCCGCTGACTGTGCGTTGGGCGGCACACATTCGTGTCACAGCTCCAAGTGGCCTAGGCAAGAGGAAACATGGGATGATTTTGCAACTAGTAGCTGGGCCTGCCATCATCCCTTTGCTTCACCTGTGACTCAGGGGGATGTTTTTAATCTGCAAAAGATTATCCAGTTTGCTGATTTCCCTTCATGGCTCTTGACGTCCCTGAAATATTTCTGCTAATTATCTCCCTATTTGGGAGCTGTTTGTCCACAGGCAAGACAATTTGCTTAAATTTTAAATCTCAGACTTCCCCTCCATTTACAGTTTTCAGACTGTCATTTGCGGAATTTCATTTATTTCCTCTGGTTTTTGCTTCAGAGAGATAGAATTGAATGAGGAAAAAAATTCTCTGCAGTGGAAGGGAGTGGGTTTGGAGATGGAAATATTTTAGTAGGTCCTTCAGAAATTTTTGTTGGAGGTTTGTTATTCTTAAAAAGAACACATGGTTCCAAGGCATCCATAATTCAATGAAATCAAACTCAAATAATTGCCTTGGATTCACTGAAAGTTATTCTCTGCACATTTTTCATTTAGCTAAAAATTGATGGTTAGAAAAATGAAGTGGGTTAAAAGTCATGCCTGGCCTCTGTGTAATTCTAGAAGCCAACAATGTTCTTACTAGGCCCTCTTAAAGTCTCTCAACATGCCGTTCCTCTTTCTCTGCCTCTTCCTCCTCTTCCTTTTCCTATTTCTTTTCCCTCATCTTCCTCTGGGAGGTTAGGCAGACTCTATGCTCATTCACTATTGTGAAAGAACTTCAGAATATGAACTAGGAGGCAAGGCATAGGACAGTTCTTTTCATTTCTGGCATTTAAGTTTATTGTTTATTTTATAAATAATTTAAATTCGTCAACACCATAGAGTATCAGATAGGTTTATGAGGTGATTTTTTTCTTGTTGGGTATATTGTTTGATATCAACGATAATATTAATAATGTTGGTTTTACATTGAAATGAATGCCTCCTGTGAAACTGGATAATCGCAGCCGTGTAGCGTACGTTGTCCCTAGTCCTCAGAGTGACCACAGAAGGAATCAAACGTGTGCAGTCTCCCTCTCACATAGAATAAGCCCAGGGAAGGATATATTGTCAGCGCTCAAGTGTGAAGATAAAACACTCAATTACAAACACAATTGCTAAATCACAATCAATATGAGTTCAAATTAGAACAAAATTATGTCACCAATATTTAATTAATTAAGTTGATTTGAATTTTTATTTGATAACCAGCTAAAAGAGCGAGGAGCAGTTTCCTCTTAGGGTCATTGATATTTTCATTGTATGTAAAACATACACGTAAAATAAAAAGTGACAAACTTTGCCCAAATCGCCAGCAGTTCCATTAAAAGTACAAAGCCAAACCGTATATGTTATAATCGTTGGAGAGATTTGTTTTGTAGTGAGCTTGACTTTCTGTGCACTGAGTAGATTGACATTTTATAAAGGTTTTGTTGCTAGGTACATAAAAATAGCCTTTTCTATTCTTCATATTACAATGTCATTACACTCTGATTAGAAGGTAATTAGAAGGTAAAAGGAAATAGTTTAAGCTCCCTTTTTTGTTTATTCTAGGATTCAAGAAGGATTCACAAAACACCTCTGCATAGTAATGCAGCCATTACAATGATCTATTTGGGGAAAAATGTGCACTTATCCTATGATCACCCAGACTTCCGGGATGAAATAAAGGTTTATCAACAACACTGTGGTGGGGAAAACCTTTGTGTCTACAAAGGCAAACTACGTGAAAAAGGTACACATAAAACGTGAATTTTTTTAGTTGCCAGTAGTTCACGCTATAGATAAGCTGTTAATGATATCATATCAAAATGACTTCAGTCACTCTGTGATATTATGCATATCCAGGGACTTGTAAACCAGCTGCCTAAAAATAAATCTAGATTTACGGCTCCATGATTGAAACTGAAGCAGCAATGACCCTTGCAGATTGTGGAAGGAAGAATTTGGAGTGATTTAACCCAGTAACAGATTAATTTGGGGGTAGAGATATATGATCATTAAAATGCTGCACGAATGAACTGTCCCCCAAATTACAAGGTAACTATTTGGCTTGCCATAGTGAATTATATCATACATTATTCTAAGAGAAAAATGCCAGATTGGCAATTTGTTCTTTCGAAGTACGTTGAGATAAAATCACAAATCCAATAAACTTAAGGCTGAATCACACCTAAATAACATGGTGCAGAATTTGGCTAAATGGCCTTTAGTACATTCCTGCTTTCATTTGATCGTAAATCCGTGTTTGTTAGCGTAAGAGAATTTTTATATCCAATATAGGGTTTCACGTATTGTATTGAAGTGGTTTTCATCAATATTTAGTTTTGCGGAACAGCAATTAAAAGGAAGAGTTGTTACAGGATTATATTTGTTATTTCCTTGCTTAAGAAACTCTGTTTAGAAAGTAATAGTGTTTTTACTAATTAAAAGAAATATTTATATTTGGGTAATCTTGATATAGACCTAGGGGTTAAGGGAGGAGTTGGGGGCAAACATGGACTTGTTACTTTTGGTTTTCTGATTTATCAATCAAAAACAGTGACTATTAATTTAAAAAAATTCAAGTACTTAAAGAGAAACTATACCTATTTAAGGATTAAATATTTAAAACTTTCCAACATAAAAAAGAGTAAACACTTGAATATTAGTTTTAACTTAAAATAAAATATGTAATATTTTACTTTATAAAAATGTATAAAATTTATTTATTAGAAATAATGCTCAATAATGCTAGAAACTATTTTTCCCCATTTTATATACTTGGCTGAAATGTAATTTACTTTTGTCCCATCTTGTTATAGCATTTGCGAGTTCAGGTCTTCCGTTTTGTAGATGAGAAAAATGAGAGGAGTCCAGAGGTGCAGTGGCTTCTCAAGGTCACACGTCCAGCCCTGGGCAGGGGTCAAGAGTGGATCCCGGCCCCTGACTAGTTGCAGGACCCTTGCCCAGCACTATTGAGCCCCAGTCAGTTATTCTCAGCAGCAAAGGGTTTCCTATACTTTCATAATATGAGGGATATGAAACCCCTAATGATAGTGGCATAGATACATACACTCATTTTTTAAAAGTATAACTTTCAACTATTAATTTAGGGAATTGCTGAAATTAACTAGTCTAAAATTGGAATTAACACAATGAAACTTTTCCTGTGTCTTAGATCATACTTTATTCAAAAAAATGCATATATAATGTCTATTTGACTGATGGAAAATGTGATACATACAAGTGAAAAAAAAAAGAACAAGACTTAAAGACTTAGCTGGACGATTTTCTGGGATACCATATGTACTCTGTGATCAGAGTGCAAAACCAAAGGTTATGGGAGAGTGTTACTTGGCTGGGTGCTATTTTGCATACATAGTAATCCTGGGAGTGACTTTTATGTCATTTGGCAGTCTTGAATAATAGGATGGAATGGGGACCTAAATAATTGAATCCTGTCCACAAGATAATTTTGTCTCAGCTTGCCCTTGATTGCCAGGGAAGTAATTGCTCAAAATTGAAAAGTTGGGTGGCTCAGAGTTGACTTGTGGTTCAGCAATCTTAGCAATTTAGCTGGACTGAAAAGAATCTGCCCTTTTTACAAATCAAAGCTGTGCATGATTCAGTGAAATGTGAATAGGTTTTTAGAAGCTTTCTGTTAAAAAAATGGGCATTTCACATTAAGCTTGGAGCAATAAACTCATTAAAAACGTGGCAGTCGTTAATTTGTCTTGCTTTTGGATGAGAAATAACAATAGAATTAATTATTTAGGAATGAGTTAAGTGCATCTTTTATTCCCATGGTAATTCATGGTGTCCTGCAGTTTGACTTTAGACATCAAGCCACATGTTGATTGTTTATTAAGTACACCTATGAAGTCACTGAATATTTCTGCTACTCGTAAAGAGTACAGTTTTTCACAGGCATTTTTATTTATCATGTTCATCCTTTCAAACAAGGCAGACCTTGGCCTCCTGGGTTCATGTGGATACAAAGAACAAAGTAACTTTTTTCTGGTCCTCTTGTAATCCCTTCCTTTTCTGCCTCATTTTCTTGTATTTCTATAACTGATCCTGTTGCCCCTATCTGTACACTCCCCACTACTCCCTCACAAAAAACGGCTGCTTCACTGGCCCAGATCCCCCAATGCTGTTATCTTGTCTTTTCTGTGCTATTTCCTTTGTCTGCAATAGGACAAAGGATTTTAAATTCAAAATAGGATTTTAAATTCAAGTCTTACCCATCTTTTAAGATTCAGGTTAAGGCTGTGAAGCTTTCTCAGCTAACTTCTAGTCTCTTTTATCCCTCTCTCGATGGCAATGGCTCTTAGTCTACATTTAAAACTGAAGCATTTCATTGTACCGTAACTTATATTAATTGTTTTTTATTTTTCTTTTAGTCGTTATCATATATTTGTGTGTGTTTGAAAACAGCTTTATTGTGGTGTAACTTACATTCCATAAAATGGATTCATTGTAAGTGTACAATTCACTGATTTTTAGGAATGGTATAGGATTGTGCAGCCATTATCACAAACCAGTTTTAGAACATCTCCATCACTGCATCAAGTTCCCTTGTGCCCATTGGCAGTTAATCCTCTCTCATAGTCAGTCCCAGGCATCCACTGATCTGCTTTCAGTCTCTACAGATTTGCCTGTTCTGGACATTTCATATAAATGGAAATCATATAATAGGTAGTATTTTGTGTCTTGCTTCTTCCACTTAACATAATGCTTTTGAGAGTCATCCATTTGTAGCATCTATCAATAGTTGCTCTCTTCTTATATCACTGAATATATTCCATTACATAGATATACCATATTTTATTTAACCATCCCAAGTTGATGGACATTTGTATTGTTTCCAGTTTGGGACTATTATAAATCATGCTGTTATGAATTTACAAATACAAATTTTTGTGTAGACATCTGTTGTCATTTCTCTTGAGTAGATTCCTAGGAGTGGGTCTGATGGCTTTTTCTTCCTGAGTGTTGGTCACACTTTCCTGTTTCTTTACATGTCTTTTAATTTTATGTTGAAAACTGGGCATTTTAGATCATGTATTAGAGCAACTATGGATTCTGGATTCTGACTTTTCTCTCTTGAAGGTTATTGTTCTTGCTGTTTTAATTGTTGTTTTTCTGTATACAAACAACAACAAATCTGTGAAATTCCTGCCCCCTCTCCTTGGTATATAGCCAGTAATGTCTCTACTCAGATTTTTTCTTCTAATTCTATTTTTATTTTTTAAGCTAGTCTCTTAGGGTTGTTTCTCTGTTTGCATAGTTTAGTGACGATCCAATGATTTATCAGAGGTTGTAGCCAAACACTTTGAGCCAGTGAAGCCTCCATCTTCTGCCAGTGGATCTGTTTGTGAGTGTATTAGTTTCCTGGGGCTGACGTAACAAAGGTCCCCAAAACTGGTGGCTTAAAACAACAGAAATTTATTCTCTCACAGTTCTGGAAGCCAGAAGTTTAAAATCAAGGTGTTAGCAGGGCTGTGCTCCCTCTAGAAACTCTAGGGGAGACTCTTTCCTTGCCTCTTCCAACTTCTGGTGATTCCCAGAGATCCTTGGCGTCCTTGGCATGTAGCTCCCTCACTCCAATCTATGCTTCTGTCTTCATGTGTCATTCTTCTCTGTGTGTCTCTGTATGTGTTATTTCCTTTTCTTATAAGGACAAAACAAGTCTGGGATGATCTCATCATGATCCGTCACTAATTATATCTACAAAGACCCTATTTCCAAATAAGGTCACATTCTGAGGTTCTGGGTGGACATGAATTTTAGGGGAGACATCATTCAACCCACTGTAGGGGGTTCGGGAAATGCATTCAAAGTTCACATAGTGTTCAAATCTGTTCCAACTTTTATTTCCCACCAGACTCTCTTACGTTTCCTTTGTGCATAGGTACAAGCTCCCAATAGGCCAGGGATGTATATGAGTAGGTTGGGCCTGCTCCAATCCATGCCTCTTCCAGTTAGCTGGGGATGTGTATAGAGTTTATTGAATGCATGTATGCCTGCCTTGTTGCCTGTATCTTCCTGTTAAATTTCTGGCTAGTCCACTGGCCTGTTTCTGGCCCTAATTAGAACTATAGTCTCAGGCTAGCAGAACCTCTGAACTTCCTTGTGAGCTTGCCTCCGAGACTGCTACTTAGTACTGGTAATGCCACTGGCCAGGGTTTTTATGTGTTCTGCTCCAAATCAGGTGAGCCCCCACTGACAGTGAAGCTGCTGGTTATCTACGGCCCGCCCTACCCTGTTAGAACCACAGTGATGAAATAGTGGCAGGTGAGGGGGATGGGAGCAGCCCCAGGCAAGGATGCCACAGATTCCCACTCTTCTTACCAAAAGTTCAGTAAGTTTTCATGAATAACTGCTGCTTAGTTTGTTTTTGTCTTTGATCCATTTTCAGAGACAAAATTTTAAGGGGAGAGGATTTGGTGACCTCACTCTGAAAGTCTGGTAAATGAATTTTATCTCTCCTGCTAAATTATAACTTCTTGAGGGAGGAGACCATATTTGATGTTTTTTCAGTATTTTTGTTTTTCTGTAGTGCCTAAAACAGTGCTACCCACTGTCAGTCAACAATGAATAACAACATTTTACAAATATTACACAATGCTTTCTAATACTGTACATTATGTAGTCTTTAAGACTGCTCTGTGAAGTGAGTAGACTGGGTTGCCCCCGCCACCCCACTCCCTCACCCACTCCCCCTGCTATCCTCATTTTATAGATGAGAATTTTGAAATGAAGCAAAGTTAAGTGACTGACCAAGAGACACTGAACTAGTAAGTGACGAACTGGGACATGGATCAAAATCTTCTGATTTCTGTTCTGTATTCTTTCCACTACTCCATACAGAAACCATCAAGTCAGGGTTGGGAAGTGTCACTAAATTTTAAAATATAAAATTACAAAATAAATGACAAGGGAACAAAGACAGGGGGTGTCAATTCTTGTTCAATAAGTTTGAAAAAAACAAAAGAAATGGAATAATAGGTGGATGTGCCCTCCAGCCATGTGGGTACCAAATGGAAGGGCACTCACATCTAGAAGTTGGTCTCCTGTGCCCGTTCTCAGCACTTCCTTGGCTGTACTCCCTTCCAGGGCTGGGTTCTTAGGGAGTCATGGGGTGTGATGCTGCAGCAGAATGGATGGTATTACATGAATGTCCCATTCAAATTTCTGTTATGAAAGCAGTGAAACTAGCTTTCTAGTCACCACCTATGGAGTCCATATACCATTAAGACAAGTAGATTTTTTAAAAAAATTTTATTGAGGTCATAATAGTTTATAACATTGTGAAATTTCAGTTGTACATTATTATTTGTCAGTCACCATATAAATGTGCCTCTTTACCCCTTATGCCCACCCCCCAACCTCCTTCCCCTCTGGTAAGCACTAATCTGTTCTCTTTGTCCATGTGTTAGTTTATCTTCATATGAGTGAAATCATATGGTGTTTGTCTTTCTCTGTCTGGCTTATTTCACTTAACAAAATACCCTCAAGGTCCACCCGTGTTGTTGTGAATGGGACAATTTTGTCTTTTTTTATGGCTGAGTAGTATTTCATTGTATATATATACCACATCTTCTTTATCCAATCATCCATTGATGGGCACTTGGGTTGCTTCTACTTCTTGACTATTGTGAATAATGCTGCAATGAATATAGGGGTGCATACGTTTCTTTGAATTGTTGATTTCAAGTTCTTTGGATATACCCAGTAGTGGGATAGCTGGGTTGTATGTTATTTCTATTTTTAATTTTTTGAGAAATCTCCATACTGTTTTCCATAGTGGCTGCACTAGTTTGCATTCTCACCAGCAGTGTATGAGGGTTCCATTTTCTCCACATCCTCTCCAATAAGGCAAGTGGATTTTTAAATCCACTATTGCATCTTAGTTTCTACAGACACTAATTTTTCTGTTTTCTCTTTCCTAGTTTAATTTCACATCATAAATACTAAGGTATAAATGACGGAATTACCTTCTCAATAAGTTTATTCTTTAGTACAAATTGCATCTGATTTAGATTTTTTTTTAAGGGCATAATGTGGTACAAACATAGTATTTCTAGATGACTATAGAAGAAATAGGTTAAAATGATAATTCACTAATTACTTATTGGGGCCTTCCTATGCCATTGTCCTGGGATCTGGGGAAACAAAGATGAGTAAGACCAGTTTCAGCTCTCATGGATTTCATAAACATGCAGGGCAGCAAACATCTAGATCAGGGTTCTCAAAGTGTTATCCCTGGACCAACAGCATAAGTATCACCTGGCAACTTGATAGAAATGCAAATTCTTGGGCTCTACCTAATTAGAAACTCTGGGGTGAGGCCCAGCAATCTGTGTTTTAATAAGCCTTCTAGGTGACTCTGATGCACACTAAAGTGTGAGAACCACTGGTGTAGCCATATTTTAATATATTGTAATAAGTGCAGCAATAGGAAATATGCACATAGCAGAGAGGCGAAAATTATCAACTCTATTATTGGTAAAAGTAGAAGAGTTCAGGGAGGCTTCTTTTTTAGGAAGTGACATTAGATATGTCATGAGGAGCTGGCTTCTAAGTTTCTGTAGACCCTGTAGAATAGGGTTTCTCAGACTTGGGGTTTGGGACCTCTAGGGTGAGACCTTTTCAAAGAGCATTGTAAAGACTTGGAATGATTAAAAACTATTAATTGCAAGCAGTGACTGTTAATTTATTGGTTGCACTTTTGGGTAGGTGGGGGAACAAGAAGGGGTCTCAAATTCAGGTAGAATTGAGAATGGAGTGGAGATAGAATAATTCTGCCTCATCCATGTATGTATGAGGTTATTTCAAGTTACAACTAAAAATACAAATTTATTTAAAAGCAGTTATTTAAAAGCCTTTAAAAGGAAAATGTGATTTTGTACATGTTAGTCCAAAGTCAGTTGCTTTCACTAATGTATTTCCTTTTTTAATTGCAGAGACCTTTCAGTTTATTTCCAAAAGGCACCACGGTTTCCCCTTCAGTCTCACCTTTTTCCTGAACGGGATGCAGGTGAACAGGTTAAGCTCCTGCTGTGAATATAAGCATCGAAAAGGTTCCAGACTTGGAGGCAAACGAGGCTACTTTGGGTTTGTGCGTGTCGAGAGATCATCTCCTTGCTACAAGTATGGAAACACATGTCCTTTGGTAGAGGGCAAGTGTTGCTGTATTTTTCTTCATATGCTTTTACTGACATATTTCTCAGCACAATTTGTTAAGAAAGATATTGGTGTGGAAGAGCCTAAAATATCCAAGTTAAAGGTTGTTTATTAGAACCCTGTGTGTTGTATTTGAAATTATAAGCTATAAATTAGATTTCCAGATGTATTATGTAATGGGGATAAAAGCTGGTGGTGTTTCACATTCCTCTTTCTATTTCTCCCTTTTCTCACAAAGGGAGTTTTGTTCTGTTTTAGTTCTAAGTTCTGTTTTTTTTAAGTTCTGTTTCTGAAGTTAAGGAGAGAGGGTTTTTCCCCCCCTTATTCCTCTTAATAACCGGTTTTGGGCTGAGCCCCAAAGCACATGCCGAGCATCTGGCTTATATGGTTGGATATTATAGATTATGCATATTATACGTGTGCTTGTGTTATGATGCGGCCCAATTATCATCTCATGCTCCTAGTTTTAATCTCAGGCATAACTAAATGCGTGGTAAAAGGTCAGTTTGGACTATTGGTTATTGGCTTCCATACTGGACATTCTGTTTGAAATCAGGAGACACACTTGCAGGCTTTCTTTAATTGTTTTCTGAAAATACTCATGGAGAATTAACTATATGCCAAGCTAGAACACAGGACTGAACCAACCAAAGTACCTGCCCCATGGAGCCCATTCTAATGGGGAAGGGCAAATAACATAGCAATAAACCAATTAATATATACGTCAGGTGGCAATAAACCTGATGAACACAGCACAAAGTGAGAGAGATATAGGGAGTGAGGGGGGACAAGTGTCAGAGGGCAATGTTATTTTATCTAGGATGGTCAGGAAGGGCCTTTCTGATAAGACATCTTTTGAGTGGAAACCTGAAAAAAAGTCTCCTCCTTCACATAGTTTTTCAGGTAGAGGGAAAGCATATACAAAGAGTGTGATGCAGGAGCATGCTTGGTGTTCCTAAGCTAGTGTGGTCAGAGCAAAAGTACGGAATAGGACGATAGAGGATGAGGTCAGAGAGACAGTGGAGCCAAGTCATGTAGAGTCTTAAAGTCATTGCAAGGACTTTGACTTTTATTCTAAGAGAGATGCAAAGCCTCTAAGGTAGGTTTTGAGCAATGACCTATCACAATCTGACAGTAGCTCCTATGGGAAAAATAAACTAGGAGGGAGAGGGGAAGAGCACAAACTACTTTAATCCAGAGGAGAGAGGATGGTAGAAGGAGCTAGCAGTGATTGGGGTCTAAACGTATTTTGAAAGCAGAATTTACAGGATTTATTGATGGATTGGATGCAGGGCATGAGATAAAGAGCAGAGTCAAAGATAATTGAAAAGTTTTTGGCTTGAACAACTGGAAAAATGTCTAGTTAATGTGTACTAAGATAGAGAAGACTGTGGAAGAAGCAGGGTAGGGAGCAGAATGAAGGGGTTTTGGTTTTGGACACATTAAGTTTGAGACATCTATGAGATATGCAAGTAGAAATGTTGAGTAGGCAGGTGGCATCTGGGGTCTGGTGAGATGTCCAGGCTGGAAATATAAATTTGAGAGTGGTTTGCATATAGATGGCATTTGAAGTCATAGAGGGGATGAGACTCCTTAAGAATTGAATGCAGAAAGAGAAGATATCTGGGTAATGATCTCCAGGTCACTCCAGTTCAAAAATAAGGAAGATAAAGAGGAACCAGCAGGAGGCCTAAGAAGGAAAGCCAGTGATTAGAAAGAGAACCCAGAGAGAGTGATGCCCTGGAAACGAACGAAATGTTTGAAGAAGAGGGCATGATCAACTGGGTTGAACGTGTGGAGAGGTGAAGTAAATGAAGAATGGGGATTGAGCACGATTTGGTAATGTGTTGGTTACTGTGATCTTGGACAAGTTATAGTGGACTGGTAGGAACGCAAGCTTTATTGGAGTGACTTTAAGAAATAATTGGAGAAGAGCTAAAGCCAATGAATATAGATAACTCTTTTTAAAGAGTTTTGCTATAAAGGATGGAAATTGGGTTGTAGCCAGGAGGGGAGATGTAGAGATCAAAGGGGGCTTTTTATTTTTTAAGTTGGGAGATATTATAATATGGTTATGTGCTGATAGATAAGATTGATACCCCAGAGAAGAAAAACTTTGTCAAGCATGACAAAGAGGGAGAAATTGCTGGAGCAAAGTGCTTGAGTGGACTAGAGGACGTGCGATCTGGGGCTCAAGTGGAGGCATTAACCTTAGAGGAGAAGCATTCTTCTGTAGCAGCAGGAGGAGAGATGGCATATAGGGGAGAGAGAGAGGTAAGTTGGTAGATATGTTGGGACCAACTGGAAGTTCTCTGCTGATTGTTCCTATTTTTTCAGTCAAACAAGAATTTAACAGCTGAGGTTAAGGCTGAAGGAGCAGAGTTTGTAGGCTTTAGGAGAGAGTAGAGATATTAAAGAGTTATCCAGCAAGTGGGAGAGTGAATGGCCTAGAGCAATATAGTAAGAGCTCCCAGGTGTGCTTGTACCCACCCTAAGCTGCTTTTCTGTTCTGACTCAAATATGCTTTCTCCATTTTTGTGAGCAAGTCATTTAACAAATTTCTGTTTAGCTCCCAGGAAAGCTATGGAGCTTATATACAATCATCCACATACAAACACATTGCATTCTTTAGAAGTTGCTGTGTTAATCCAAGGTGTAAATGTTTGGTCCTAAACACTTTCTATGGAGGCTTAATAATCACTACCAAAATCTGATTGATGACATCTACTCTCCCATTCAACACTTACCAGCCTCTGTACAATTCTCCATATGATTTCACTCGGTCCCCACTAGCTTCTTTCTTTGACCTTTTCAAATAATAATAACAAAATGGTTGTGATATGAAAGAGTAAGGCCTATCACCTTCAACTAAAATGCACAGTTCTTACAGGACATTGGTTTTCAATTTTTTCTTAGCTTCATAACCATTTCTCCAAATGAAATCTGTGAATGTCCAAAGTAGAACAGGGTGGTGTCATTTGATGTCTGCCTGCTGCAGATCAGGTAAAAGTCGAGGCCGACTGATTTAAATGGGGTAGGGATGGGTGGGTGAGTGCTGGAGCCTTGTTTACTTGGTTCTGCCCCAGTCGAGACTACTCTCATTATTCCAGTGAAAGATGGAAGATATAGAACTCCAGTGAAAGATGAGAATTACCCCTAATGAGACTGATATCACTTATAACATTTTTTTGGTTACATCCATAATAATACTTTGAGTCATTTTAAGGGATGTACATTAATTCGTCCAATTTGTTAAAAATGAAATTAATTTTAATTTATTTAAAAAATACTGATTCCTGGAACTTTTATTATGATAAAATAAAACAATAGGGAGTTCTGTTTCTAAAGATGTTTACAAATTACCTGTTTAAAGTCTCAGAAAACAAGAAAAGTTCAGCAGTGGTCACTCCCAGAGTGTGAAGGTTCCACAATTCTACTCATCCCTCAGTCACTGGAACTGGGTGAAGAGATGCGGTAGCTATTTTCCGTTGCTAGAGTGAAACATGGGAAGAATTGCCGGAGCAAGTAGAATGCAGACTGCTTTGAGCTCTAGTAATTAGAATGAACACCTCAGGTCATACTCAGAAGTCAAATAGGCAGTCAGCGACGAGGACACACAGATGTTACTCACTTTGTCTGTCCAATTCCCTTAGGCAGATGGGCACTAAAAAGTCTGTGCCTGCAGTAGGGAGGCATCAAAGGCTCTACATGGTCACAACATAAACGAAAAGTAACAGCATATGAAAGGCTCCAAATCCACGGATTTGATGTTGTCATTGATAAGGGAAGGACCGCTTGAACAGAAGACAATGCTAGTCATTGTACTCTGGGAAGATTCATGACACTTTTATTCCAAGGGTAGCAATGTGCTATGTACATCATCATTACGGTCGAGAAATATTTATCATGCTTAATATGGGTGAGGTAAATGTATTCTTATTATTTCATTTTTTAGAGCCTGTTGGCTACTTTGAGTGCAGATCCTCTTAGCTTTATTTTATGGGGAGATACTGAAAAGATAAGTGATATAACTAAGTTCTCATATTTGCTTGTTGGGGGAATTAATTAAGATCAATCTCTATGCTATTTCTAGACTGAGGATGGCTGAAATTCAGCGAAATTTTCAGTTTAAGAAATTGCCATTGGATTTGATTCACGTTGAGGCAATTTTCAGATCTTACATATTATTTCTGTTCTTCCTGGACTGACAAGTCTTGACTGCATTCTGATCCCTTTTCACCTACTCTCTCTAATTGATCCGTTTCCTGATAGTCGTGTAACATGTAGAGAAGGTGACATGTGGTTCTAGAGGAGGAGGCGTGTGGAGACTGATAACTGCCAGGCAACTTCTTCAGGTCATGGACTGTCTCTGGGCCTTGGTGACAACTTCTCCAGGTTGTGTTAGTTTCTGGTGAGGAGGTGGTAAGCCCAGCAGTGTAACATTTGTCTGTGTAACTAGGCATCTGAGAGGCTCTACCTGCCATCTAACAAAATGGTTGTACTTCAGTGTGAAGTGATGGAATCTAACAGTCTTGGACTGGAATCCAGCTCCATCACTAACTGGGTGAACTTGGGCAAGTCATGGAACCCTTTCAGCCTCAGTTTCCTCATTTTTAAAGTGGTGATGATAGTTCTTAATTTATTGATCTGTAGGGTAATGAATCCTGTAAGATAATGTATAAAGTACCCAGCAGCTAGGCACAGAGGGAGCGCTTAATAATCTTATTATTATCATAATCATCATTTTTATTAATGTATGTGTTACTATCATTATTGGAATTCTTATTTCAATATTAACTTGAGAGATAGGAAAAAAGCTATAAAGAATTTATTCACATTACTTTTATTATAATTGATTTAAAAAATATTTTTTAATGTCTTAATACATTCAGATTATCTTCTTGATTCACCAGATTTGTCTTTGAATGACTTTATGACCTCTACAAATTATTGCTGTCTTCAAAGAACAAAAGCTTATTGCCAGCAAAAATCACCAAAAGATTGGGGTACAGGCTTCAACAGGCCATTCTAAAAGCAGTAGTGACAGTTCTATTAAAATGAGCATGCAGGATCCTGAGGTGTTTATTTAAAGGGCCCAACAACATTTGAGTGTATATGTTTCTTAAAAAATCAATCATATTTTATTTACCATCAACCTTGTATGTAAGTCTTTCGCTGTTGTGTTGTTGGAATAATAAATTGTCAAAGACTGAATGGTGTCTTTCTTCTTCTGATTATTTTTATCTCAGCTTCTCTGTGATTATAAACCTGAATGTTCTTTTATCACATAATTCTCATTTAAGGACCTGAATGATATATATGTATTAGTTTCTGTTATAAGGCCAAAAACATGCTTTAAGGCACAAATTTTATTTTGAGACTATAGTTCTTAATTTTTGTTTTCTTTCCTTGTTTATTATTGTGGGCAAAATTATTAAAAATTAGTAGGTCCATTTACAAGATTTTAGTATTAATAAAGAGAAAATAGTTTATTTTTAACTATGTGTACTATAATAAAAATATTTCTTATAAAATTTCTTACTAGAATAAGAAATAAGTGATTTAAGAAGCTTTGAGGTGCTATATATAAAGGTTAATAAACACATTATGTTAATATTTTTCACAGGTGCATTATTGCAATGGGCCTTGACAAAAAACCAGTGTCACCAAAACCTAGGAAAGAAAAGAGTATTGAGAAAAGAGAAGACCTGAAGAAGGCTGAGGGGAAACTGAGGAAGGATAGAGAGTACCTGATACCAAGAAGGAATGAGATGGAGGGGAGCAAAACTTCTGCTTCAGTCATTTCTTCAGCTCAGGAAGAAAAACCAGGGTTCAGAGAAGTGAGAACTGCTGTAGAAGAAATGGAACTAAGAGGAAAACCAGGACAAGATGTTTGGGAGGATGACCAGGAAAATATATTTAAATATGGTAATGGATAACACTGGTTCTTTTGTTGTTGCTTTTCTTAAGTCTTTAAAATGCATTTATTAAAATTGCAAAAATATCTATTAAATGTTGTTCTCAGTTCTGGTCTTTAGACAACTCTGTTGCTTGTGAGGAATCCCCGACCGCCTTCCCGCACTGTTTTGCATGGAGTCCTGTGTCACCTACCTCAGAGGAGGACAGGCCTAAGTCTAGAGGGGTTGAGGTGCTTGTGGGGGGACGAGGGGAGGGCAGTTTATGTCTGTGTGAGCCAGAGGCCCTGTTCACTTCTGCAGAGAGAGCATTTTGACCAAACAGAATTTTGCCTGTTTCTTTTTTAGTATTTGAATGTACTTGCTGTGGAGAAATCAATGCTTTGGCATCAGGTAGGCACAACCTATATGATTATATGGTGATGGAGTATTCCATAACTAAAGACAGTTGACGCAGGCTTGGGGTCCTGGAGCCTATCTGTCTGCCTTTCGTGCTTTCTTATTCTCCTTTCCCCTCCTCCCCCCTCCCGTCCCCTCCCCTCCCCTCCCCTTTCTCTTCTTCTTCTACCTCCTCTTCTTTATTTCTCTTTCCTTCCCTCTCTCCCTGTCTCTCTCTCTGTCTCTATACACATACACACACACACACATTCATATATACAGTAGTAATTAATAATAATAATAAAAGTACCAGGCACTGGGTACTGGACCAAGCCCTTTCCACACACTATTTCATTTTATCCTCATCATTCCATGTGGTAGATACTATTACCCCCTCCATTTTACAGGTCGGGAAACTGACGCTGAGACATACAAAGGGAAAGTAGCAAACTAGGATTCATACTGTAGGAGAAGAAAAACTGTTCTCCTGCTGCCCATCTGAGGTTCATTGGCTGGGTCCTTGTGAATTAGACTGACAAAAGAGATTCAAAAAGGAAAAGCAAACAGAAGTTGATTAGCATGTACATCACACATACACATGAGAGCACTCAGAGCTGAGTAACTCAAAGAGGTGGTTAGAACTTGGGCTTATTATAGCATCTTAACAAAAGAACAATACATTTTTAGAGAAGTGACAAGACAAAGGAAAAGGACTTTGAGTTTCTAGGGGCAGCAAATTGTGGGGAGGCCAATATATGGGAAGCCAACGGTAGATAAGGGCTAGTTTTGGCGAGGTTTGTAATGTTGATTCCTCTGGTGCCATCTCTGGGCTGATAAGAGTCCAGAGTTGTCTCCTATAATTAACTTCTGTCCTCCTGGGAGAGCAGTGAGGGAGAACACCTCCACAAATTTGTGTCCTGCTTTTAGGCAAATAAAGGGAGGGCAGAGAGCTTTGCTTGTATTTACTACTTCTCAATTGCCTTCAGCTCAAAATAATCCTTATGCCAAAGTGGCATATTTTGGAGTGGCATATACTCTGCTAGTCTTCAGTCTCACGCTTGTCTAATTCCAAAGCCCAGACTTTCAAATACTGTCCAACCTCCTATTCTGTGCAAGTTATCCCTGATGTTACCTGGTTGTGGGTGATATGTCCAAAGAATCAGCAAGGAGGAGCTGCCCGAGTGTCCCCCTTACACCCGAGAGACAAAGCCTGGAGTAGAGGTGCAGTAGCCATGGGCTGGGATGAACTGTGGAGGGGCTGGCACTAGGAAAGGGGCAGATCCCACGTCTCTCCCTCCTCACTGCATCTCGCTGCTGCCCAAGGGGTTCAGAAATCCAGAGAACAACTACAGGGCTGTTATAGCACGGGACTTCCTGTTTATTTATTACTGAAAGAATGTGACTATCTTAAAGATTTCACTCATAACACTTTGACCCAGTTTACCTCTCTCGTGATCCCTTATAGTTTTATTCTTATCTTAGACTGAGAATTAAAAATATCTATGGCAACAGTAGCAGCAGCGAGATTAACAAATGGATTGCATTTTTACTTTCAAGACATGTAGGTTTAGTAAAGCCACGTTCAACAGACACTTTTCATTTTCTTCATTTCTTTCTTAAACTAACATGGCCAGTGCTATGCGTAGCGTACTTTATGCCTGGAATACAGCTTTTCCCAAGATCTTTCTTCAGTGTTGGCTAGTTAATGGACTTTAAATGCCCATTTCTATTTAAAAAAAAAAAAAAAAAAAAAGAAGAGGAAATAGCTACAGCCAGGCTTGAGCTGTCTGCAGAACAGCCGCTGATGGTCAGGGCAGAGAAGCTTGAGTGGAGGTCAGCGAGGGAGGGTTGCAGCTGGATTGATGTTGACCTCATATTGACTCACTTCCTCATTAGTGAGGACGATAAACAAGCTAATTAAATTCTCTGGAAGAAGGAAGATGAGATGGAGGAAACAGAAGAAATTATGAAAAGGAATCCAGAAAGCACGCCACCAGTTCATTCACATTGAAGACACGAGTAGATGACACAGAGGAGGGGTGCTGTGAGCTACAATGCTAATACAGTGCTCGTAGTTAATAGAAGGCTCCTATTTAGATGTGGTGATGGTGGTAGGTAGAACAAAGCCAGGGCAGCCTTGAATTTCATATTTTGAGAGAAAACACAGAAGCTCCTGCAAAATAGGATGCAGGGACTGTTCTTGTGGTTCACTACATGTTCCTTCAATTTTATGCTCTGCTTCAATAATTGCTGTAATTGTGTTCTAATTGTGGACACTTGTACGTCTCCGATTTTAATCAAGTGTCTCTATTAAAGTTTGTTGCTGTCAACAGAGCACATATTGTGTGTGATTTCTCCTGTTCTATGACTAACTCCCTCCGTGCCCGATCACAATCCACTGTTACTACTAATCCGTAATATTTATTAGGCACCTCCTATCCATGGCACTGGACTAAGCATGTTCCCAAGATTACTGCTTTTAATACTCACCACAGCTTTGTGATGCTGGTACTAACCATGTCACAGATGAAAAAACTGAAGCTTAAAGATGTTAAGCAAATTGCCTAAGGTCACACAGCTAGTTAGTATTTTAACTGGGACTTTGATACCTGACTGCCTGACTCCAAACCCCTCATGTTTCACCACTATGTGATACTATTGATGGAATTGCAGCAATTCACTCATGTTCTGTCTGGCCTCCTGCTTATCCTGTGACAGTCGCAAATATCTGTCAAGTGGTATATGTATCTCTCTGTATTCTGTGGCTCACCTAAACTCCTCCTTTTACGAAGTCTTCCATGATCTCCAAATGACATTCTGCCCTACTATGATTCCATTTCACTCATTTGACATTATTTCACATAATTAATCATGAATCCTTTATAAAAATCCATAGCAATCGAGCCCAGTAGTGTTGAAACTAACATTACTGAGGACCATGTATAAAAACTACTGAGTATAATATCTCTTGTGTACCTACATATTATTTCCTCAACAAAAGTGGAGATTCCTTGATGGCAGGGGTTGTGTTATTGTAATGTCTTTTAGCTTGCAGTTTTATCCTCTTTCACATAGAAGATTCTCAATAAAGGCTTATTGATTGACAGCTGACTGGGACAAGTCAGGAACTATCCTATTACTTGGCCTGAAATATCTGGATCAAAATACATGTTTTTCTTAGTATTTTCCGTTTGTTTCATGCAATATAAACCAAATTCTTCATCTTTTTTCTTATTTTATAATTTTGTTTTACTGATAATAATTCACATTTCTTGTTCCCCATATTAAATCTCTTTCATGAAAACATTCTTGTGATGAATTCTCTGTTTGCCTTTCTTCGTTACAGTTTCTGAGTTCACTTTTCCTCTTACATCTCCCTCATACATGCTCTGCATTTACAGAGGTTTCTTCGTATGCACAGGGCATGTATTTCTAAATTAAGTTTCTTTCATTGCAGCAGGGTGGATAGCTCTCAATTAATTACCCGAGAGGCCCCCACCAGTGGAAAAGAAACCAGAATATCTAATAACTAAAACACACATAATAGGGGAACCTTTATTTTTCCTGTAATTTTTATTTTACAGAGAATTGTTTATTTGCTTAATTGGTTCTGCATGAAATCATTTTGCTGTCTATCCCTGGCATGTTGTCACTTCAAGATTTTTTAGTTTTTGGTGGAAGCAAAAAGGGGAACAATTAAATATGAAAGGTGAAAAATTATAACCGCAAGGGACAGCTGGAGTTTATCTGATGTGACAGTTTTCTTTTTCTGCTACAGATTTGTTGCACCTCTGTAGGGAATGAAGCAAATTAGTGGCTGTGACAAGAATATTCTATTTTATAAGAATTTTTATCCTTGGAATGTAATTATTTTATTGATTGTAGGGATGAATAATGCATATGATTTCAGTTCTGAGCTAGGTATAGAATCCTTCACAATGCCTTTTCTTGATGTCCATTTGGTTCTCAAAGAATGTGCTATTCACAGTGTTACTTCTCAGGTCCTTTGGACTTGATTAATTGAATTTTTCCACTTCACTATTCATTAACTTGATATCCAAATATTTTGAACATTCTTCCTATGAAATATGACCTCACTGGGTCTCCAAATTAACTTTCATTATTATAATCCTGTTCTCTTCATTTTTAATTTATTTCTAATGTATTGTTTTCTATCAAGTTCTTCTCTTGTCCATTTTGGTTATTGTAGATGATGATGTCCATTTGTAAATGAACTTTTATTAGGTTTCAGGCTTGTCATTTGAAGCTTCATTTCTTTTGTGCTCTTGTGTATGTAACTGATTACAATCTTTGATCATCGCTGTTAGTTTTCCATGTTCTCTAATTGTGTGAAAAAGAAGTGAAGAAAGGCTGAGAGAAGAGGGGATAATGGAGTCAAAGTTCTCATTAAAGTGAAGTGGGTTAAGTATCAGGGATTCTATTTTCATTCTCACAGTGGGGATTTGCTTTTCTCAGAATATGAAGAAGATTTTGAAGCAGATGAGGAGAAACAAGATGAGAAAGCTAATGAGGAAGGACGGGCTGATGATCAAATGAATGGAATGTCAAAGTCACCCTGGGATGATGAAAAAGATAACTCAGACCCCGGAAAGGAGAGTGAAACCTTGTGGCAGGAGGCACCAGATGCTGATGACAATGTGAAAGATGAAGGTGCTGGACGCTCTGAGAGTGAATCGGAAGAAGATAAACAAGGCAAGTTGTTCAGCTTATCACGTGACACAGACTGTTTAGCGAGTGTGCTTCCTACTTTTCTTTTCCTCATATTTAATGCGCTAATCCTCTTTTAAGGGAATATTTAGAGCCTAGTTCCGTTCCCTAAACAGGGGATGCTGGTCAATCAATCCGTAGATATCCAAATTCTGGAGTCACTCTTTAATCCTTTCTTTTTCCTTAGTTTGATGGGATTTTTCAGCAGGGTGTTAGGTAAAGCTCGCAGTGACAACATTGTCTGTTTACTTAGAAAGTTACTACTTTTTTAAAAAAAAATCCCAAACTATCCCCTCTTAAACACACACACACACACACACACACACACACACACCATTTTGTGGCTTTGGAAAACTGAAAATTACGTCCTAGTCAGTTAAAGCGAAAGTCAAAGATTCCTGCTGGAGCTCCATTTTTTTTTTCTTCTTAACTTACCTTAACATAGGATGCTGCCATATTAGTTTCATGGAAGGATTCTCTCTCTTGGCAGAGGTGGGCCCCTCACAATCTTTAAGCCTAAAATGACTCTGAGAAAGATGCCCTCATCATCTGAGGCCTATTTTAAATTTTTAAGACCTTTTTGAAGACCTAATTCACTGAAATAATGTCTAGTCAAAGAAGGAACCCATTTCCTGCTTTGTCCCATAAAAGAGTTTGGCCAAGGCTCTGTGGTTCTTAGTCAATCAAAGATCTTCCCCGGTACATTTGGATCATATACCAGTAATAACAATAACCCTCTTTTATATGTAAGTATGTGTATGTCTCTGTAGTTTGCTTTAGACTGGAGGATGAGGTCATATTATAATGATTTTTTGAATTGCTGTCCATTTTCCCCATTCTTTTCACCTCTCAATTTTTTTTCTGGATAAAATCTTAAATTTTTGAATTCAAGAAATATATTAAAATAATATAAAGTAAGAGTAAATTAAGTAATCAAGTAATCACCAGAGCAAATAGTTAGTTTATAGTTACACTTTCTTCAAAAAGGAACCCAGGCAAACATATTCTAAAATTTCATGCACACATATCAACACAATAAAATAGAGAGCACAAATTGTTTAGAGTAAAAGAGAAGATAATTTTACTAGGAACTGTAGACGGGAGCATGACTATACTTGAACTAAAAATTTGACCCTGAGCTTCCTGACAGTCAAAGTAAAGAGTGAAGCACAATGTGAAAAATTAGAATGATGTTAACTTTCAGCAAATTTGAAAGCAAGATTTGCTGCCATTTTTATTATAGCTGAAAGAACTGCTCAATAGTAAGGTCAGACATTGAAATATTTTTTGTAAAGTCTTAAACTAGACCTTTTCTGTAATTTCTCTTAATACTTACATTTTGTGTTTCTAGACATGCCTAATATGTAAGCTCTTTTCTCTACAAATTTCTCTGTAAATTCTCTATAAATTTACCTTTATATTGGATTTAAGTTTGTATTCCTATATGACATAGAGAAAGTTAAAGACTCCAATGGAAAAGTGATGTCACCTGAGTGGGTAATTTTAAAGAAACTATCCAAGTGACTGGAACCTGGAAGAAGTTGAAAATGTGTTTGCATATAAATATAACTGGTTCAAAACACAAAGGACTCAATTTTTTTATTTCTTTAGTAATGGTGGGCAATTATCAAGTGTTGATTTCATGAAGATTCAGTACATTCTTTCAATATGTGGTCATCGGGGGATTATTTTTGTGCTGCATAATCACCTTGCTTTCTTGGGATCAAACGGATGTTTTCTAAAGCAGAGTAATTTTTTTTTGTTCAAACAGAGAAGGATATAGGCAGTACTTAGATCTTCCTTGGAGGGAAAGCTTTAATCATTTAGAGCTGTAATTATTGAATAACTGACAGCGACAGGTGAACACTAACATTGACTACTGCGTGCATATAAATAATTGGAATCCTGCTTTTGGAAAGGTATCTTTTAGGTATTGTTTATTAAGACTATTTTGTGCTAAGCCCTGTGCTAAATATTTTACATAAATTATCTGATTTACCTTAAACAACCTCAAAAAGCAGGTACTTTTTCTTTTTATCTCCATTTTACCAGTCAATAAACTTGGAAATGGTGAGATTAAGTAACTCACACAGCCAGAAAGTGGTGGAGCCACGATGCAGACATTAACCAACTTCAGACCCTGGATTTTGGAGAAACAATGTAACATTTCTGCAAATCAGAAAATATCCACTGATTTAAAATTAAAGCAAATCCCCCCAATACAAGAATTTTGCTTCCTTAAGAATATACATTTTAGAGGCATTTATCTTGAGCTCTTTACCTTATCCTATTCTCTAGCCACTGTTTTTTTGGTTTTGAAACAGAGGAAATAAAAATGGGTTTCTAAATTTACCCAAATTTAACCTTCTCTTCTCTGTATGGACTTCCTTTCCCATTCCCCGGCCTTTTGCTCAGTTCTGGCTCATCATCCTTCTCCTCCATGGCACTCTTCTATTTTGGCAGCCTTCATTGAGCTCTTTATTTTAGAAACTCCATCATTCAGTAGTTCATTTTTCACTTATTGTTCATGTGTGTTAACTTTTGCCCCTCAAGTTAATTACACAAGGTCATAGCACACGAATTAATTACACTATGAAAGCTAAGACAGTATGTTGTCTCTGTTATTCCTCACAGAAGTTATTTCCTAAAAGATAGTTTGTGAATATTAAACAATTAGTTGATTGTTTTAACACCAAGAATACTAAGGTGCTTTTGTTAGTGCCATGATAGCTAGTTACATTTGTGCTGTTCAATTGTCGTTGGAATTTTATTGAAAAAAATTGTATAGAGTTAGCAGCATTATATAGATATAGAACATAGAATATTTTAAATAGGTATGCAATGAAAGCTATCAGAACATATAAAATCTAGTCCACAAATGTTGGGAAATTTTGGAGCCAAAAATTAAATTGGCCAACTATTTTATCTTGTCATTTTGATAATAACGTTATTAAGCTATCCTTTTTAAGAGCTCTTTTGCCTCCTTGGTATTTACATTAAAACTTTGCCATTATTCTGAAATAAAATCTCATTGCTTATTACTGTTTCGTTTTTCCACCTCCAGGCTCTTTTATTTTCCGTCTCTTTATTTTGATAACCTGACCTTGTTTTGTTCAAAAATATGCCTTTTAGCATGTGGAGTATCAGAATTAGAAATTTCATCCAGCAAACAAGAAGCATGTATTAAAAATAATAACGACATGATAGATTCCTTGGAACTCTCTATTGAAAAACCAGACAGCATTTCATCTTCAAAAGTGTAAGAGGCATATTGTGACCACTGAATCCCAGACACCAGTACATCCCTTTTATTGACATGATTAAGAATCTTGCTGTTAGTATTTGGTTGTGTTTCATTTGAACCTGCCTGCACCTGTTCCCAGAGGGCAAACAATTGCCCGGGCTGTCACTCTTGTGACAAGTCGGCCCCATTTAAACAGCCGGCTAACAATTGCATCGGCCGCCTTGATGAATACGCTGTGCTGAGCAGCCCCGGAGAGATGGAGTGCTGTGGACTGAAAGCTGCCTAAGAGAGGACCCTGCTTGAGGAATGATGTGTGAGACTCACCATCGTTTAAAAAGAACGACGGCTTCCTTTTCTCTGCATTTGTGTTGGCAACCCCAGGCGCTAATTCACCAGTTGAAAAGATATTGTCATAGATGAATGTTATAGAGGTTGAGGGGAAAAGTGTCATGTGGCTGAGAAGATACTTTTAGACTTTTCTGGGCAATTTGGATGATAGTGCCTATGAGTGAGAGGTAAAGACCAAGTAGCTCCTCATGAGAAAGAGCTGAGAGAAAACCTGTTCCCACAATATGGAGAAAAGAAAAGAAGACTTAAAGCGAATAGTTTTTTTTCTAGTAAGAAAGATATTTCACTTGTGCTATTTTTCAGTCTATTGAAGAAGTAAATCTTATAGACTTTTAAAATCCCAGAATCACAAAACTATGGTTTACTTGACTCACGCACTTAAGCATCTCACTCATTATTTCTTGGCCTGACCGCGGGCTTGAAGAGAAGCCTGAGGGAAGCTGCTCCTTCTGTGGTGAAATGAAACGCACTGTGAGAACACGCTCTGTGGACTCAGTGTCACTTGTCTGCTCCTCGGGCCACAGACAATTAGGGGAAGATTGTCTGTGGCCTTCTAGTCAGAGTAGCATATGTGTGATTTTTGCATAATTAGTCAAACTTGAATTTTTCTTAATGGTAGGAATTCTTCAATCTATAGTCACTTTTCAATTCTTGAAGTAAAAAGTCATGGCTTTCAGATAAATACCTAAATGCAGCATCATCTTTTCATTCACATAAAATACTTTTCTATGAGGTGTTTCTCTTGAGTTTTGAATCTGCCTTGTACATAGTAAGGCACTACTGAGACACCCAAGAAAGTCTTGTGAAATGCACGGCTGATTGACTAGATTAATGGATATGTGTAAAAAAACTTAGGCAGCACATTGTGACGCCTGATTTGGTTATATTCTCAGTATTTTAGGTATGCATTTTAATGTCTAGAAAGTATAGTTAAAGGTAAATATGGAGGAACTCTTAAACTTTTTAAATTTTTTCTTCTCCTCCTACTATATCTGCATTTACCTTTAGATATTTATCCTTACAAAGTAATGTATATATTTGTGTCATTGATTAATTGAGTGAATGAATTATCAGCAGGAGGACATATGCTCTCCCTAAGACAAATAACTAGTCACTGTTCATAGCTGGGATTTAATGATTTCTACTTCTATTTTCATTAAGCATACACTTATTCTACAATATTGATTGAGTACAAAGCACTTGTCTAATTAGGCATTATTGTACATGAAAATATTGACTGAACCACACTATCTAATACAAAATATAAACATTTTTTTATGAACTCATGAGTATAATCAAGATAGAACTATTAATACAAGTAATAGTAGGGTATATAAATTCATGTGTCATGGCTAATTTGAAGAACATAGGAGCAGCATTTGTGCAGATTTTGCTGAACCCTTGGACTAAGGAAAGGGAAAGAGAGACACAATTTGTACTATAGTTCAGAAGGGTGTTGGGTCCACTGGGTTGGGATACATGCTATGTCGTTAAAGTGATCTAAATATTTCACTGAGTTTACGTATTTAAATTTGTGCACTTTAATCAAGGTGTCTGTATGGTCTTCAAGCTAGTAAGCCAAAAACAAAGTAGTTAAAATCAGGACACTTATGGAGAAAATGACGAATTTAAACTGTAGTAAAGCCGTGCTCCATGCTAGGGGAGTGTGGAAATGATTGAAAACTGAGGACAGGACTTGTAATTGGTTCAAAAGGGACAGTATGGCTACTGATTGCAGTACGAGAATAACAACCGCTTCTAGGAGAGCTATCTGCAGTCACTTTAGGAGAATGAACAAATACCTTCATGAACATGTGCACTTGAGCTATTGTGCTCATGCCAAGGGAGGCAGTGTCTGTCTAGAGTGTGTGACCTCTGCAGAAGCAGGGACCTGGCCTGCCTTTTTTTCTGTGTCTTCAATACCTAGAACATTGCCTGACACATAGGAGGTGCTCATTTAGTGCATTCAGTGAATGAATGAATCTATGTCAGTGGGTAGGAAGGTGGAGGACAACTCAGAACCTAAGCTATGAGGAGAGAGAGCAGAGCTCATCCTGACTTTGCTGGACTGGTGTTGACTGTGGGTGTGTGTGTGGTCGGTGTCCTTTGTCAGGTGTATATCAAGTTGGCTAGGCAGGCAGTATAAACAGTGGAGATTTAATTTCATTGGTTAAAATCAGTGGAGGTAACTGACATTATATATATATAATTTCCTATATATGTATAGGTAATTTTTGTGAATGCCCACACAGTGTTCAGTAAATATTTGTTAAGTAACAAGTCACTAGATGACGTGAATATTTTCGTACACATAGTATCATGGTCAGTATTATAAATAAACCAAAGATTTTGACAGCTATCTTTTGCTTTGTTTTCATATTGTGTGCCTCAGAGTGTTTTAACTGGACTCCGTCTGGGTGCTAACGTGGTGAACAAAATGAGGAATGACCAATAGAGATATAAAAGGGAGGGCAGACCATGAATTCCATTAGTTCTGATATTTTGGAGAGAACTGTTTTCCATTTGTCATTCTGAGAAACAGAATGGAAAGTTAGCTAAGAGAAGCAATGGTGGGTCCATGACAGTGGGAGCTTTCTGTCTGAAGGCCTTTTGGCAGCTAGAGGGGTCTTGGTTTTACTACAGTGGGTCATTACAAAAGAAGTGTTTTACAAACCTTGCTACTTTATAGCTAGTGGACATTGAGCATTATGTAACTTCTTTGGGCCTGATGTTCTAGATCTAGAAAAAGAAGATAACTATTCTACGGGATTAAATGAGATGTTTGTAAAATGCTTACCTCATTATTTGGTACATAGTAAGTGCATAATCTTGATCAGGTTTTATCTTTTTTCCCTCAATAAATGGTAACTGTGGTTACTGTTCTTAATATAATGTACAGGGTGGAATCATGAGAAAGAAATTTATGAGAATATCCTCCATATATGATTTAATAGAGGGAAAATGACTTAAAATCATAGAGAAAGGATTATTTGATTTGATTGGGTGAAAATTTTTCTCATGTAATTTCTACAATCACTTATGGAAAGCAAGTAGAATTATCTCCATTTTACAGCCAAGAAAACAGAGGCTTAGAGAAGTTAAGTAGCACAGCCAAAGTCAAAGCTAAAAAGTGGCTGAGTCATGATTGGAACGCCTAGGTTTATCTTACAGAAAAACACATAATTTTCTCTTAATTTCATGTTGCATGAAATAGTAATGATGCAAAAGAAGGAATAGTTATCAATGACATGAAAGAGAAGACAGGGAAGGATTTGGGGACTGATTGAATGTGGAGAAAAGTCTGAGATCCTGCGTAGGACATGGAAACATGGCACCAAACTTGCTGGCTTTGGCGAAGGACTCAGGCAACGAGCGCAGATCATTTCTTTACCTTAAAGACCAAGAGCAGATTCTTTCACCATCAGTGCCTGTCCAGAGACAAATGGAATTGGGTAGGAGGGTAGGAGGCTGAGTTGTTTACCGACCTGCCTCCAAGGTAACTTTTTCTCTCCTTATGACAATAAAATTTACATATGTGCCCTCAAAGTTCCTTTATATTAAAACTTGCTTTATTTCTAAGAGAATAAAGTTAGTGTTGAAAATCCCATTCCATGGTCCTAAAACATTTTGAGCTTTTTTGTAGCCGAAGTCTTGCCCCAGTGTCTGTATGAAAATGAGAGTAAGAAATGAGAGTGAAACTAAATCATACAGTGAGGTTAAGAGAGATTTGAAAGCTGAAATGAGTTTATATGGGAGGTCATGTCCCCTCGCCACTTTGAGGCCATTCATTCTCCTGATCTTTCTTCTCTAAAGGACCGACTCAAAATTGAACCAGGACGTGTTTCAGCCTTTTGAAATAAAATAATACAATTAATAAAAGCTACTGAAGAAAGATAGAGGAGCACTCATTTTTTTATTCTGTGAACAACTCTTAGAGCCAAAAGTGAGAGTCAGCATGTCAATATTCAGATGGTAGAGATGACTATTTTTTGAAAGTGCAAAACAAGTATAACGTTGTGTCCTAGTTAATTGTGGAGTTAATGAAAGCCATTGATCAAACCACTAGCAAACAGGCGTTGTTTTTCTTTTTTAAAAAAACAAATGTGAGATGCTTCAGAGAGGAGGAGCTCGTAGTCCCTAAAGTTTCTGAACTGGTACAAATAAGATGGAGAACAACTTTCCTTGATCTGCTTTGTTCCCTACAGAGACAATATATCCAGATTTTATAAATTGGAGATAAAGAATGAGTGGCTAAAGTATGTGATTCCTTTGAGAAACAGCGGTCATCTGGTGCCTGTCAAGGTAGTTGGGAGACAAGGGCAAATGGAATTGTGCTTAAGGGGTTCTGTTACTTAAAGGCTTTTTAGAGTTTGTTTTTTACTGCTGTGGAGCATCTCTTGAATCTTTGTGGAAACACGGATATGTCTCTGTGACTATACTTAAAATGCTAAGCCCTGTCGTGGAGAGCTGTTGGGGCTGGAGGGACTGAGAGGAGAGGATAAAAGCAAAGACAGGTCTTTCTTTCCTTAAACCCTGCACCAGCTGCTACAGCCATCCATGTAGCTGCCACGCAGAAATAAAAGAAACAGAAAGAAGAGTGCGAAGCATACAGAGGAGAAAACAAGAAAGCTAGGCGGCATTTAAGTGTAGGATATTTAATTTGAAATATATTCTATAAAAACAATTATAAACACAGATTTCTTGGTTAAAGAGTCAAAAGCGAGTTTGTATTTCTCTGGCTTGCAATGTGAGCGGTGACTTTTAGGCCATGCATCTTCCTTATAGAGACTCAGTGTGTATGGTACTTTCTTGGAGATTTTTAGAAGTTTTTTGTGTAAACCATTTTTGGCTCTGGTTTAGTTTCTAGACTGGATATCGATAGCATCACATCTGTGTACTGCCTAGATCTCCCAGAATCTTTCAGCGATCCTGTGTGCCCGTCTCCCAGCTGCTGCACCCCCTGCCGTCTTCAGAGGACAGCCCTGGGCTATTAGAGTTGCTTCACCCTCAGGCACAAAGAGCCTGGAAGTGCCAGGGACTTATGTCCCCGTAAGGTGGCCTGTAGCCATGTCTAACTGGGGCAGAGTATGAAAGCCCAACTCTTTCCTCAAGGGAGGGAAATTCTAATGTAATATAGACTTCAGAGGGCCCCATGGGATCAGGCTGAGGTTGAGATGTTGCTTGAAATAGCTCCTTTGATTGATTTCTTCCCTTCTCTGCCCTACTTCCCCTACACTCTTAAGAGTTTCTCCTGGAGCATATCCTTAATACATCACTTCCACAAGAATCCTCATCTCAGTGTCTGCTTCAGGGAAGCCTGAAATAAGACAATATTTCCTTCTACACACACATACACACATACACAAGAGCATCACTTTAAAATATTTCTTAAATGTCTAGGTATTGTGCAAATGCATAGACCTTCTTACTGTACCCAGCTACCAGGGTATACTAGTATGGTGGGTGTTATAATCGATGAAAATTTAAATTTTATGCACAGAGAATACTGTGGCTATCCAAGGTGATAATTAAGTAAGTGCTCTTGCTGAACAAGTAAAAGCTTTTTCAATTTCTTATATAACAAAATAGGTGCTTACAAAGGTATCCCAATAAAATGGCTTTCAAAAAATAATACAGTTGGTTTTCAGTTAAATGTGATTTTCTGTTGAAAACTTCTGTGGACTCAAAGATTACATAGGTTTTTCTTTAACATGACAATTATCTAGACTATATGGGAAAGGGTATCAAATCTACTAAACAATATTAAAAATTTTAATATGATTAATTACTAACATAATTCCCACAATTAAATCAGTTGCTTTACGGAAAAACAGTGATGTCTTCATTTTTATTTTTTGTAGATGTAAAAACTGCTTCATCAGCCTCATCCAGAAGTCAGCCGTATTCTAGTTGCAGTGAAGATGAATCTGCACTGGGGGACAGGGAAGCCCACTCTGAAAACAGTCCAAACGAAAGTGCCAGCAGTTCATCTTCACAGGAGCTGAGTGAAAATGATGAGCCAGGAAAATCCCACCTTCCAATTGTGGATTCCCTAGAAATTGAAACTGAAGACCAAAAAAGGATAAAAGCAGATGTGGAGACCAAGCTTCTGCCAATAGAGGAAGGCTTAGAGAATGTTCTTGAAGAAGAAACAGAGGAAGGAACCCCAGTGATTGCAGAGGGCTTATCTGAGAAATCGAGGGAACATGTTTCCAAGGAAGAAAGGGAAAAGGATAAGAGTGAGCTTTGGGAAGGAAGCACTGTGAAGGTGAAGGACAAAAAGGCAGGTGCCCTTAGGGTGGAGCAAGGTGGTAAGTATGGCCAGTGAGTTGGCTGCCGTTGTCCCCACGCATGGAAGCTGGTTTTGGTCCCTGCATTCTGCCAAAGCTTGAGAAACAGTATTGTGATAATGCCAGAGCGATTCGATTGTTGTCCTATTTCTCTCTTTGTCACATAATCATACACGTATTTTCAGCTTGCTGTTTTCCTTCTATTGCATTTTAAAAATTACTTGAAATTCTTCTATAGCATGTTTCCTATTTTCTGTAAATCCCTTCCTATGGTAATTCTATCTCAAGAATCAAATAAAACACAATACGTGTCTGAAGGCAAGGGTATGTGTGGCTTTTTAGAGGTTATTTAATACTAGCAATGCTATTTGTTCCTAGCTCTATATGCACTTCTATAGACATAGCTAACACTGATAGTGCTTACTGTGTGCTAGTTCTAAACACTTATAGGCATTAACTCCTCTAATTCTCACAACAGCCCAATATCCCCATGAGTTAGGTTCTAATATCATTTCTCTTTTTTACAGATGACGAAATCATGGCTTGGAGAGGTTAAGTCAATTGTCAAGGATTCTACAGCTAATAAGGAGCATTCCTAGGATTTGAATGCAGGCAGAGTGATTTCAGATTTTCTAAAGAGTTCCTATTGTATCTGTGCAAGAGGAATTTATATTTATATAAAAACATAAAAATTTCATAGAAAATTCCAAACTTGACTTTGAGATGCTCTCTGAAACCACATAACTTCCTCGTCCAGGGGGTGTATAGGACAGTTCCATTTGACATGGGAGGAGTGAGAAGTGTCCCAGGATAATGAGGCCCCAGTACCTTAGACACATGGAAGGTCTGATACTTTTCTCAACTTTAGGAGGACAGTTAAAGGACTGAGTTGTGTCTTGTGGACAGTTGAATTGTGCCTGCCAGATACTTGGCGCTCACATAGCTGCCTGTGCCCTGTTAACTCATACCTCCATCCTTTCCCCGCTCTTTCGTCTGTCTCCCTTGCCAACATGGTGAGCATTCTTCTTGATTCCAAGATAAATTTGTTTTCACATTTTAATAGTACTAAAATCCAGCTGTATTTAAAACTTATGAATACTTTAATAAATGTCTGTAATATTTCTTCTAGGACATTAAAAGCTGTTATTAAACCACTGGGGCCTACGTCTAGGAAGTGAGGATGTTGAATAGTTATCTTTCAATTCAACCATTACTATTAACCTTCTACTATGTGCAGGGCACCATGGCCAATAGGAAATGTGTAAGAGAGGGTTCTGCCCATAAGATGTTAAGAGGAAGGCTTGGCACGCCGATAACTGGACAAAGGTCAGTAGTCATAAGTAAAACCAGACAAGGTACAAATGCCGTGGGGTTTCTAGGAGAAGTCTCATTTGGTTTCACCTTGAAAGTTTTCATGAAGGAGGTGTTTGAGGAAGACTTGAAAGTTTAGATAAGACTTTGAAGGCAGAATGGAGAAGGATTACTGCATTCCAGACGGTGAGGTATAGCAAGGGATATGACCTTTGAATAAGTTATCAAAAATAACTCTAGAATGAACAGTTTGACACACTTTAGCCCACGGGCAAAATCGGGCCCACCACATTTTTTTTGTATTGCTGTGAGCTAAGGATGTTTTTAAATTTTTTTTTTTTAAATGACTGGAAAATATCAAAAGAAGAATATGTGTTGACATGTGAAAATTATATTAAATTCAAATTTGTGTCAGAAAATGAAGTTAAATTGGAACAGAGCCATGCTCATTCATTTACATGTTATCAATGGCTGCTTTTGCACTACAAGGGCAGAGTTAAGTAGTTGCAACAGAGATCCTATGGTCCACAAAGCTCTAAGAATTTACTGTGGGCCCTTTACAGAAAAAGTTTGCCAACCTCTGCCCTAGAATTATACTACAAAGACCCCCTACATTTTCAAAAAGATTTTGCCATATATGAGTTAAGATTCTTGTTAAAATATGTTTGAAACTTTTATAAAATAATTCAAGTTGTTGATCTTAGATTTCATTCCTCAATTCTGGTACATGTAATGTATAACCTAGAAAATTTGTACAATTTGGCAAGCTGCTAGTCAAAAAAAGCAGAGATGTTAAAGTTCAATAGTAACATTGACATTATTATTATTATTTCTTTTCTTTCCACTTCAGAAAACTAGATTGTTTACCTGGATTTGTGTAAGTAGATATCTTTTTGTAAAGTAAGATGCACATAATGGGCTGTCGGCTGTAATTAAGCGATGGATAGAAGCAGAGATGTTGGACTAGGATCATGTCACCTGGAACATAGTGGGATTTTTTCTAGATTTGTGAAATGAAAACTGTGTTGGTTTATTATTTTTCTCAAATATATGGGAAACCTGTATTCTTGACTTGATAACATCTATAATTGTAAAACATTTTATCATCTTTTTATTAAGGCAGGTTCAATACTAGATGGCAAGGCTTGTAACTATCTTTCTTATGCTCTAATATATGTACCAAGTCTCTTTATCAGTGTTTATTTTTCATAAGCAACTTATAAAATAACATGAAATTACATTTAGAAAATAGAGAAAAGTAGTTTTAAAAAATTACCCCATAGATTTATCACACATACAAAAATCACTTTCAATATTGGGTCAGGCTTTTTATTTATAAACTTAGAATTTAGAAAGTTATGTTGTCATAGTTTTCTAAGATGTTGTATTCTGCTTTTTATCCTTAATGTTATACTGTAAGCATTTTTTATGTTATTATGTAATCTTTATGAACATTTTTAATGTCTGTGTGTTATTCCATTCTGTGGTTTTCTCATTATTTAACCATTTCTTTATTGTTGGATATTTTTATATTTTTTCTTACTTTTGCTATTATTAATAGTACATTAGTATCTTATTACCTAAGGTAATTTCAAATTTATGACTATTTTCTTAGGCTAGGCTCCAAGAAGTATAATTTCTGGACCAAAGACTATAGACATTTTAAGGTTTTTGATGTAGTTTTTTCTTACATAAGATTGATTGAAAAGTTTAAACAACACAGAACATATGAGAATAAAATGAAAGCTAAAGTCTTCCTTGAACACTCTCTAATCTTTTTCCTCAAAAGATAGAGAGATAACTGTGGATAACAGTTTTTTGCACATGATTCCAGAAAGTTTTGTATATTATACATATATAAATATATACATACATATATATATGAATATATTATTATTATATACAGATGGAAACATATGCTACATTTGTTTTTCAACTTGTTTTTATCTCACTTGACACTGTATCTTGAACATCTTTTCATATCAGCACACATAGCTGTACTTTATTCTTATTACTGTACATGTTGTTCCATTGTATAGACTTAGTATTTTATAACTTTGCAAATTTTCTTAAAAATATGTTGATTTCTGTGCAACTCTTGTTTTGTTCTATGGCCTGTCGTCAAGAAAAGAACAAAACCTCTGGGTTATGGAGGCCCAGCGGCAAAGAGCATAATGTACACTGGAAAATAAGACATGAATAGGTAAAACAAAACAAAGACCATGTAAAATATTCAAAATGATGTAGAAGCATTAATGCTGTCAAAACCTAAGGATGAGTAGATTGCGACAGTTGGGTGCTGATGTTTTTTATTTATTTATTTTTTTAGCGATAGGTGGCAGGCTGAGCTGACCTTGAGCTTAGATTTATAGAACACTGGGGCTAGAAGAAAAATTTAAGATCATTGAATTCAACTTAAACACAGAAAAGGAAAAAAAAAATGACTGACAACTGGAAGGTGGCAGAATGAGGATTAGAATTCGCACCTGGTTTATAACTCAGTATTCTTCCCACCATACCATGCTCCTTGTGGTTCTCAACTTTTCACTGAAATGTTTATCAATATAAAGCCAAATCAAATTAGAATGAGAAAATGTTTAATTATGAATTTTATATATGCTGATTCATATCAGTTTCTGGGATTGGAGTCGATTTGAGTACAGGAAATTAAGAAATCAGATCCAACTTTTTTCTTTTTTTTACTTTTTTTTGTACTTTATAGTATATACAATTTGGCTTACTCTTCAAAACCTGTGGCCTTTTAAAAGTATACTCAAGGAAATGATGCAATAAATTTGTACGTATTTAAAATAGATTAAAAGTCATAAACAGTTTCAAAGTCTTTTATATGAATAAACAATTTCTAAGAAAATTTCAGATAAAACCAACCAGGTCTTCATTGCATAATTCATAACATTGATATTAATGCCAAGCAAAGAGGTTATGGCTATTTTCTCTTTCTTAACCAAGTCTTCAGTTAGATGGCTCAGGGAAAGAGGGATGGAACCAAAGTTATATGCTTGAAATGAAGGTCATTTAGGTGACTATGCTACAAAACCAGCTTATATAAATTAGACCAGAAGCCTGGTGAAGATTGAAATATGTATATTTTGCTTAGATCTCAGACTAGAACCTTGGGTCAGAATGAAATGTAGGCTGAGAAAATGAGTAAAAGATTTGCTCTCATATTTGTGTGGTGCTGAATTAATCATTTTTCAATTAGACTTGGAAAAAGAAGTGTGATTATGTTAATAGTCTATGGGCTAAAAAATTACATACAATTAATGATTTTTTGTAGTGTCTAAACTAGTACAACTTAATCTGAATTGTTTTCACTTAAGATCATAGCAGTTGTTAAATTAGTAAAGTACTGCATTCAGCGCCTTCGTACCTTTCAGGTTAACGTAAAATGATATTTCCCTTCTAACTATTTTATAATATGTCTCACTTAATTGGGCTTTGCCCAGTCCACCAACAAATCAGGTGAATTGATATAAAAGGTGTGTTGTCCTCAGTTAAGTGGATAAAGTAAAACAATATAATTTCTAGCTACAATGAGATAGTGTCCTTGGGAGTTAACTCAGTATTATAGGGCGTAATGTTATTTTAATGTGTTTATTTTTCTTTATTTTTAGTTTAAGCTGTCTTAATGCATTGCAACAGGATCTTTGCAATATGTTCTAATGGTGGAACAATTCAGGTGCATTGATTTGTGAAGTTAATATAATTTATACATTATGAATGTAAAGAAAATAAATGAAGAATAGAGTATTTTGATGTAAAGTATAATATAAAAAGTATATGGAAGTAGGCATTTTATGCTTTTACAGGTTTACCCTGCTATCCAAAAGTAGAGCATTTTTATAAAACTTTTCGTAAGCCAAAATTGCATAAAGCGAAGAAGCAATTACCATCAATTTATATGGGAAAAATTTGGGGGCGTTCCCAGACCCCCAAAATAACCTACCGAAATAAATCGAGATAAAGCACAGATGCTGACAAACACAGTTCAAGGCTATGATGGCTTGATGCTGAGACGCTGAGTGTAGTTCCTCAGGAAGGAGCTTAGAGCGCCACTGTCGCTCCTGGGGGTACACGGGGTGACCGCTGCCTCTGTAAGGGCTCGCTGCCAAACAAACGCTGAACACTATTTTCACTTTTTTTGTAAAAGCGAATATCCTCTTTGGATTTCTTTTGATTGGCGAAAACAGGTACTAACGTAGGTCTTTCGTAAAAACGAAGTGACAAAGTGAACGAACTTTCAGATAGTAGGGTAAACCTGTATATGGGAATTAGGAGAAGTCATAGTGCTTGGCCAAGTAATACAAACCTAAATAATGGTATGAGTAAAGCACAATGCAATTTTGTCATCCTGCTGGCAGGATAGAATGGTCCTGATGAAAGAACAAGAAAACTCTGTATTGTGAGCTGCAGTCTAAATACAAGTTCTTAGTGAACAGTGAAAGCATGTCATTATTTGTCCCAATAGATTTCTTCTGTCAGCAAATATTTGTTGGGCACCTGCTTTATGCCACACACGGTTCCTGGTGCGAACATAACCAAGTCCTTGCCTCTATGGAGTTTATATTCTAGGGGGAGACATGCCCAGCAAGTACAAGATAACCACGTAATGGTCTATCAGGGCTAAGTGCTAGAAGAAAAATAAATCAGGGTGATGGTTTGGGGAAGGGGTAGTGTTTTAGGGATGGCTTCTCTGATGAGCGGACATTTGAGCAGGGACCTGAATGAAGTGCAGGGATGAGCCACTCTGTCATCTGGAGAAAGAGCACATGAAGCAGAGGAAACAGCAAATGCAAAGACCCTAATTGGGAGCAGAGTTGCTGAATGAAGGATTTGGAAAGGAGGCCAGGGTGAGAGGAGCAGAATGGACAAGCCAGAGAGCGGCAGAGGAGGAGGCCAGAGGGAGAATTTTATTTTGAGATAGGAAGCCATTGGAAACATTTGAGCGTAGAAATGTCATGATCTGAAAGCTTTGAAGAGACTATTCTGGCCGCTGTGTGGAGGACAGACTTCAGCTTGCGGCAACTGCTATCTTCGAACAGCTGTGATCTTGAGTTTGTAATTAATCCTGGGTTTTTGTGGGCCATGTTTCAATGCCAAAGCTAACACAGGAACATCTTTACTGCGTAGGTAGATGATGTTAGTCATGAATTTTGTCTTGGGGAGTTGTTGGGAAGATAATTGATTGGCTACACAAAGAATGATCAAAGCACAGGGCTAGTTTTCAAGGTGACCGGGAACTTAGAATAAACTGAGATATACCTTTACTCTGCTCTTATAGCCTTCTTACGTTCTTAAAATTCAGATGAAAAGTTCTTGGCAAAACTTTCTTCTGATGTTGAATTGCCCAGGATTCTTAGCGTGCTTTAAGGTGGGATCAATTTGTTTTGTTTCAAAATAAGCAGAGGAGATGGAATGAATTTAGAAAGGTTGCTTACTAATATTGAAACCTGTATCCTTGCCACGACTTTTTAATTACTAAGTTATCAAAATGGAAAGAATTGGTGGAACTTGTGACACTGTTAGCTGTAGTGCAGGGACATAAGGCTTTTCATCATTACAGGTGAAATTGTTAATTGATACCTTCTTTTTTGAAGAACATGTAGAAACATATATCAAAAGCTTCTAAAAATATCATGTTCTTTGACCCAGCAGTTCTAATTTCAGGAGTTTATGCTAAGGGAATAGTCAGAAATAAGTACAAAAATGATTGTAAGTGGCACTTAAAATAGCTTTATAATCACACACACACACAAAAAAGGGAAATAACTCAATATCCAACACCAGGAAATTGGTTAACCAAATTTTAGTAAAACCTTATTGGAACATTCTAGGTAGTTATTGAAGAATCTTTTTTATTTAATGATATGTGGAAATAGTCACAATATATCACTCAATGAATAAAATGGGATACAAAATGGTATCTATAGAAAGAGTAGAGTAAAAAATACTTAGAAATCCACCAAAATGTTAACTAGTAGTTCTCTCTGAGTGGTGAAACTAGAATAATGTTTGTTTTCTTCTTTATGCTTTTTTATCTTTTCAAGCTTAGGTAATGAATATGTGCTATTTTTATATTTAGGGAAAGTACAATATATATTATTTTAAAATATATTTGTTTTCATAATAAAACAGCTAACATTGTAATACAAAAAGATTTTGGTGTTTAAAAAATATAATGTCCTATATCATTTGAGTGGAAAAGGTGCTTTTCTAAGAAATTCTCTGTGTGGGTCTCTTTGATTTTGCTGTTAATACTCTGAGAACTGACAGTTACCTTTGCTTTCAGTGGTCACCTTTATGGAGAGGTAAAGGAGAGGAGCCTTGGGGGATGAAGGGCTAGACAGATAGAGGAAACAAAGGGATGTGTCACCTTGCTGGCATGGGGGTCCAGCATGCATAGTCCTCCCTTACGATAGTAGTTGAAAACAGTCAAGGTTAGACACTGGCCAAGTTCTTGCTTTTAAGTTTCAGTTTCAGAAGAGCATCTGAGAAAAAAATGACCGAGTGAGGCTTTCTCTGGTCTCACACCTAATGAATCCTTGATGCTCAGGCCAGGGTCCCACTCTTGCTGAATCTGAAACTGGCACCACCTAACTGTATAGGCTCTCATCTACTTCCAAAGCCTAACCTCCAAGGGCAAGCAGCAGACGTGGGCAAGTGGTGATCACAGTCCTGAGACAGAGGGACTGCAAGCTTCACTGGCAATTCTGAGTGAGTTGTAATTTTCGGATTATGCTAGTACTGTTTGGCTTCTTAAAACAGTCTTTTGGTAAATAGCTGCTAATTGCTTATTTTACTTATTGCTTATTATTATTATTGTAAACCATATTTCTTTATAGCCTGGGGACTACTTGGACAAAACCCTAGATGTCTTGTTGGCTCCAATGAAAGAAAGCTTCATGTAATTGCTGTGAAATCAGACTTCCTCCCATCCCTGTCCTATCATCCTTGGGAGTTCTGTTATTCAGTTAGCCAAACAGATTTATATGCAAAGACCTAAAACACTGCTTATTTAAACTCTCTAGTTATACAGTGTTAACATTATTATAGTGGGTAATATGGTATTTAACTTACATGTACTTTGTTTATAAGGTTCCTAAAACAAAGGTTGACTTGATAACAAACCCAACTATAATGTAGTTGTCATGAGTTGATGTCATCTGTAACCTATGTTATTGTAAAAACTTTTTTATTTAGCATATTGGATGAATGAGGAAAACTGATGTTCAAATTTTTTTTAAACAGAATACATTTTAACTATATGTGTCTCTTTTAATTTTCATGTTTGTCCCCTTAAGATTAATATAATTGTCATTCCATTTTTTCCCCAAAAGCCACATGAAACAGGTATTTCACTGTTTTCAATCAGAGAGAGATCAGTAACTAACTAATTACTCCTTAGCAATTCCCCTTAAACTGAGCAAGAGACTATATTCTAGTTTTTTTCTCTAAGTACAGTCTTTGGGTCAACTGAATCAGAATATCTGAGAGGAAAGGAAGGAAGGAAGGAAAGAAGAAAGGAAAGGAGGGAAGGGGGAGAGAAAGAGGGAGAGAGATATAGAGGGAGGGAGGGAGGAAATGGCATTTTGAAGATACCATCTTCTCACGTAGGAAGGCAGGTCTAGGACCAGTGTTTTTTGAGTGAGCTTTTGTTAACCAGAAAGTGGCATAATGGTAACTGTCAGGGATTTAGGGACATGGATTATCAGATGATAGGCAAGGGGTATAGACAGGAAGGTGTCAGAAACTAAAGACAAACAAATGATGTTACAGTGTTGCCTAAAATCACACCAGATTGGATGATGATACTTATAACAGAAATGTTCATCATCATCATCATCATCATCATCATCGCTATTATTTATTAAGTGCTTAGGAGTTTGCTAATAAGTGGAAGATGAGCATGTTCTATATATATTCCTTCATTTAATCCTCCCAATAACCATTGAGTAGATATCTCTTTTTGGCAAATGAGTAAACCGAGGCTTAGGCTTAGGCCAAAGAACTTGTTAATATAACTCAGTTAGTATGAAATATGGTTGTTGAACTTAGGTCTTTGTGATCCTGAAGCTCCATGCTAGTAATCAGCTGCAAATAACAGGAATTTCTACAACAGCTTTTACTGTCAAATTTATAGGAACCATGCAGTAGCTTTTTTGCTCTGTCCACATGAAGTATTGAGGTCAAATCACTAAAATCTACTAATGGATGAAATGCTCGTAGTATAGTCAGCTCTGGTAATTTTAGCAATTTAAAAGAGCATTGATGATTAGTGTCATAAAAGCCATGACACATGTTTCTAGAAAGGAAAAGGCAACTAGACTGCTCTTTCAATCATCTCATTGCATGAGCATTTGGCAAATCTGTCACTGCTTCCGGCCGTTGTCTTTTTTTAATGCAAGTATTTCTTTGCATGGATTTCTTTACTTCGTGATCTATTGTGTTGTCTTTTTGAAATCATAGCTTGGAAGCTGTTTAATCTTAACAGATTTTTAAAACAAGGTCACATTTTAATGTGAATGCTTTGAAATTAACCCCACTTGCCGAAATGATGTGAAATAGCTCAGCAATGTTCCTATGACCCGTTTTTATACCTTTTGATATTTTATATGATCTCCAATCAGTTGGACAGATAATAGCTGAAGCCGTGGAACCTGGCTGCCACTGCCACAAGGGCACTGAGTCAGGTGTCAGCAGTGCAGATGAGGGGGAGACGTACTCGAGGAAGCCGGAGAACGACACAGGCGCAGGTAAGGGCACGTCATTACCTAGGAAAGACCTTCCGAATGCTCTGCAAAGACAGCCCATTCCCATCCGTCATCTTCCTGTCCTTGTTTCCTCCTCTACCAACTCTCCTTTCTTTTCAACTAGTGAATGTGATGGCAGGAGATGGTTGAGAGGCCTTAAGGGGAGCTTTAAAGCTGCCATCAGAGAGGAATGTTATTATTCTTTTTTGACTAGATTGGTGCCTAGAATGAAAAAAAAAAGGACTTCAGATAATAAAAAATATTGGTAGGGATTTGCAGATCGGTCTATTTCACAGCCCACCTCCCAATTAGTTGACCAGGTAGGTGGATTTGTCTCGCTGACCTGTTAGAGACGTGGAGAGCCAAGGCAGATTCCACAATGATTTATTTGAACTCCTTATTATTTAAAATTGGGGAAGAATTCATTGCCCAATGAATTCTTGACGTGGCTCTTGGGGATGAGCATTCCAGCTGCAGGAGGGCCAATCAGAGTGACTCAACAGACCATGACTCATGCATATCGGGTCAAACGGCTGTGTCCTTGAAATCAGGTTTCCCCATATCTAGTGGGTAACTTTTTAAAAACATCCTGATTTGAATATATGTGTGTGTGTGTGGGGGGGGGTGTTTTTCATTTTACTCATCATATGGTTGTATTACTCCACCTCCAATTTTCAGTGATAGTCATCAAGCATTTTGAGGTAGTTGAGATTTTACCCTATTTTCAAGCCAAGTTAGCCAGCCACAGTTTCATGGATGCTAGTGGAAGACACAAGACTCCTGGGTCAGAGAAAAAGGACTTTATTACTGACAACAAATAGCAGTAGCCAGAATATTTGCACTTGCACTGGTTCCATGAACTCCAATTCCCCCTGGGCAAGATGGAGAGGGCCAGGTGGCACTTGAACGTGCAGTGGGCTGAGTGATAGAAAAAGGACCCTGAGCTTAGAGAATCCACATCTTTTAGAGTGGGCATTCAACCAGAGGAGTTCTAGTTCACCTCCCCAAACATTCTGCAATGCAGGCACAGTAGTTGTTATCAATTAACTCTCACTCAAGCAAGAAAATCTAATCTACTGTAAGCAGTGGCAAGAAAGTATGGAAGGAAGGTTGGTTAGGGCTTTCTGTGTGTCAGGCACTGTGCTGAGCATTTCACCGTTTACTATCACAAGGATTCTGTGAGTCAAGCATTACTGTTCCCATTTGATGGCTAAGAGAATGAAGGCTTAGAGAGGTGTTACTTCCCAAGTTCATACAGCTAGTAAGTGGCAGAGCGGACATTCTCCCCCAGGTCTGTCTGACTCCTAAGTACACACTCATTCCACTAAATCAGATTGCTCCTGTTTGTGAATATTGCTTGCTCTCATGTTCATTATTATTTTCAAAAGCCCATGAGGCTACCATCGAAAACCGTTGTCATGTTTTTATACTAATATTTCTCAGAAGGGCTCCAATTACTCTTTCTCCCTTGCTTCAAGAATGTCCTGACTCCCCTGGAGTGTGCGTGTTCATCTAATAGCTCAGCTCGATGCCATTAGCACTTTTGCTCCTAGAATTTAGGCATAGTATATTATTATATGATGGCGAGGCAATTTTATTCCCCTGTTTTCCTGAATGTTCTTTAATTAATCTGTAAATTTAGAGGCCAGCTTAGCAAAACAGAGGATTTTATTTAAATGTTTTTTATAACTGATTTTTAAATATACTTTCCTGCAGGAATTTGATTAGCAACAGATATACTATTATAGAGACTTGACACACACTGTTGTTTCTCATTGTTTCAATTTAATTTTGTTTTAAACCAAGTAATAATCTGTAATGAAATAAAATGGACCATATTCTCCCAGGTGAATTGGCTACATGTTCTCTGAGTGCACATTTGGTTCTGCATTTCCCTCTGGGAGCTTCTAGGTACAATTTAGGAAATAATGGCTGTGATATGCTGAGGACCACCGATGAAAGTCAGCACTGAACCTATTGACAGACCTGAAATTTCTATTTTACTCCTTTGAAAGAAGATATAAAAAGTTAGCTTCCAAATACATTTTTTAAGAGAAATGTAATATCAGCCATTATTGCCTTACCTCAAAATGGTTTATTGTAATAGCTGGCAAGAGACGAAGGGAATGCAACAAAGGATAGCCATGTTTTGTATTAGGAGAGGAAATGGAGGGATAAGACAGTCGTTGATGAGGTATCAGAATAGGAAAGAAGTGAGTAAGAGCAGGCCTTTAGGTTTCTGGTAGACTGTGGCTGATGGGATGGGGTGAGATGGCTCACAAGTAAAAAAGGCGAGCAGGTAAAAAAAATGAGCGAGACACTTTTGCCTACTTTATAAATTTACATAATTTGAAGGATGACTTGATATGATAACTTACTTTATAGTATCCAGTACAGTGTCTTTTATAAATGAAAAAGATTAGATTGGTAGAAATTATTAAGATGACCATTTTAGAAGCTCCTATCTCCCTAAGTATTATTTTGCAGTTGGAAAATTTAAATGCTTCGTGTATTTGGCATGCCGTACCTTTATTTGTTTTGCATGAGTCATTTCAACAGAAACACATTGCATTTGTTAAATAATAAGAAATCCATTTGAAGTCTTTGAAGAAACATGTTGACTTATATTTATAGAAGTATGATAGCTAGTATACCCAGGTTTGCCAGGGAATTATGGATGAGAACTTATGAAATACTTCAAGAAGGTTATTTATGTTGAAAATTGTCCCAGGCTACAAAGTCCTGTCTTGCTCTGTGATCCTGTTGTGCCAAAGGCAAATCAGTTTCTGAATGTAGATGGGAGGTATCCTGACCTGTAATACAAATTGGTATCTTTAGTAAAGAGTCTTACCTTGAGCTACAGTGTTATTTGATGGCTAAATCTAAATATAGTAGCTTTAATATATGAGAGTAATGTATGGGATAATGATCAGCTCACACTGTATTATGATTATGTTGCTAAATGCCCACATGAATATGAGAAACATAGGCTGAGGACAGGCATCTGATGGCGCTATAGGGAACAATGATTTTTCTAAGAAGATAAAATACTGTTTTTCTTATTGCATAATTTTTCTGCAAGTCTTAACGTTTCAAATGAATGTAGGAGGTGTGTGTGCATGTGTGTATGTGTGCGCGAGCGTGAGAGATTTTACTATTCTAAGACATGGAGTTTTTGTTTGTTTTCAACATTTCTGATGCTCAATTTTCCTTTAAAATCAATGTGTCCATTAATTTTGATAGCATTTCTTTTCATCATGGAAAACCCCTTGATATTATGTATAAATGTCTCATATAAGATTATGTATAATATCTCCTCCCTTGTGCACTTTGATTAAAGTAACGTTATTTTCTAACCTTATTTTTATAGCCCCAAATTTAATGATGGAGGAAAGTCCAGCACTCTACTCAAACAAGGAATCCAAGCAAGTTGACTCAGAAATGTATACGCTGCAGAAGAAAGAAGCAGTGGAGGAAGATGTAGTTCCCCAACGCAGGGATGCTGATGCAATAGAAGAGGAAGGGGATGCAGCTCTGTGGGAAAAAGCAGGGGTTGATGAGGTTCCCTTGGACCGGTGGAAGCCAACAGCAGAGCAGTCAGCATTGGTAGAACAGTTTACAGAGGAAAGAGAGGTCCCTCAGGGCATAGCAAGTGGGGCAGGGGCAGCAGTCGATGGGGATAGAAGGCTGAATAAAGAGGGGTTAAACTCCATGGGAAAAGAAGCAGCAAGAGACTCTGGAGGTCTGCAGGAAGATGAGGCTCCCAAAGAGCAGATGAAAACAGTGCTGGAGACAGAGAAGGCAGCTCCTGAAGAGGAACAGGGTTTGGAGAAGTCACTGCTTCCAAGCAAGGCAGCAGCTCTGAACTTAGAGCATGTTCAGGAGACAGCAGTCTTGAGAGAAGCAGTGATGCCAGAGAAGAGAGAGGCTAAGAGAGGGGAGGCTATGAGTGAGGCAGGGCCCAAAAAGCCAGATGTGGAAGAAAGTGAAGAGGAAGCATTCACAGACCTAGAGGGACCCATGAAAGATGCTGTATCTGAGAGAGAGGATAGGTCAGAAGAGGCAATACTCAGGGGAGAGGAACCAGTCAGAGAGAGGAAGGCAGTTATGGGAGTGGAAACACCTTTGAGCTCCCCAACCTCTGAGAAGGCCCAGGCAACCTGGATGGGGGTTTTGGAGGACAGCCTGGAAGACCTTTCTAAGGAAGATGCAGATGGGAAGGAGGTTGAGACTGTGGCAGAATCTAATAGGGAAGATGATAGGAAAGAAATGTTCCCTGAGGAATTAGATGCAGCAACAGAGAGGAGGAAAGCTGAGAGGCCAGAAACACCTCTGGGGGAAACTGAATCTGAGAGAGAAGAGGTGACAAGGGCAAATACCCTTCAGGATGAAGACACTTTATCAGAAGAGCAAAAGTGTAAAGGGGAAGAGAGGGAAACTGTGAGGGAAGGAAGACCCGAGGAAGAGACACAAGCCCCCCAAAATGAAATGGAATGTGATGCTGAGGATGAGGCACCGGTGGGGGCATCTGAATTGACTGAACACGCAGGGCCTCAAGGAGAAGATTCACTGAGAGAGGGAGGGGTGACCATGTTTGAAGCAGCAGCTGGATTTGAAAAGTCGCTGGAAGACACGGCAGCTCTGAGGAAAGAGGGAGGAGGCGAAAGACTGAGAGAAGCTGGAGACACAGAGCGGGAAGGCAAAGCAGAGCTTCTGGGCAGGGAGAACATGGCTCCTTCAGAGCAGGATAAGGGGCCCGGCCCAGAGGGAGAGGGTGTGTTAGGAGCTCCTGAGAGTGAGCTCGCAGGACAGGCACAGGCCCTTGAGGCCAGGATCACAGGCAAGGCCGGGGAGTGTGCAGCCAAAGATCAAGGTGGCCTTGCAGGATGGGAGGGGAGGGAAAACAAAGAGCCTTTACAAGGGCCAGAGGGAGTAGGGGTCATGACAATGACCAAAGAAGATGTTCCTGAGGGAGATGCCGTGATGGCAGGAAAGTTGGGTGAAGAAGCGATGGATGAGGAGCCAGAGGAGGAGGTGCATAAAGAGTGCACCCTGGGGGTGGGAGTGACGAGGAATGGGGACACAGAGGGGGACAGGAGCTTGCTGGGAGGAGTGGTTGTGGCTGAGGAAGATCTCCACCAAGGAGGAGGAGCCGCAGAGAAGAGGGAGGTGTTGGAAGATTCAAAGACACCTGAAGGGAAAAGAGAGGCAGAGAAAGCCGCCTCTTTTTCAGATGTTGCTGATGAGGAAACTTGGCACCGAGTGGATGAGTTACAAGGAAAAATGGCAGCTGCAGAGAAGGTGGTGGCAGAGGAAACAAAGCTGAGCGGGGAGGAGGTGCCGGTGGTGGAGGAGGTGCCGGTGACTTGGAGACTAGAAGCTGGGGCGGGGACTGTAGGAGCACCCTCAGATCTGGAAGGGAAGACCCCACAGCCAGGGCAGGATCAAGAAGACGGGGCAGCTGAAACCACTCAGAGGGCAGAGTCAGCGGGGGAGGAGCCCAGGGTGGGGAGCCATGCTGGGGGGCAGGAGTGGGGTGCAGCTGAAGAGTTCAGACTAGGATTATCCCAAGACAGAGAGCCAGAGCTGAGGAGAGGGAGTCTACCGGACATGGAAACACTTCCTGTAAAGCACGATTGCACTGGAACCCAAGAGAAGCAAGAGAGGGCAGTGCAAAGAGAAAGTAAGAATGCAGACGTTTCCCCGAACAACACGAGGGCCTAAGAGACGTGGTGGCAGACGGTGAGTTTAAGCCTGATCTGTTTGCAAGATTAAACAGATACCCCACCTGGGGTCCCCTCCCCTTTGGGATGGCTCATCCCTTTATCAGTCCCTGCATACGCATACACACAGGCTTCAGTTCTGTGCTGCTTAGCCCCAAGACCATCAGGACAGGGGCAGATAAGGTGGAGGTGGGCCCAGGGCACACACAGTGAACCACAACCCACAACCCACCTCTATCCCCTTTGCAAATCTAAGTCCCATTCTGTCGTCACAAGCACAGCTCTCTGAAGTAGCGAGATCTGTCCCTCCCCTACAGGGCCCCAGAGATGAACTACAGAGAGAATGTGCCACAGGGAGGCACCACAGAGGAAAGTATCAAACTCTGTTCCAGCATTCACTTCCCTTTCAGTGTTTAAAAGGATGGCTGAGATTGTCTTTAAATGGGCTCTATGCCTTCATTTCTGCAGTTTTGTGAAGTTTGATATATACATATAGATATATAGCATAAATATATAAGGTATATCAAAATATTAAAAATATATAAAAATTATAAAAGTATATGTATATATGTAAAATATTGAAGACTGTAAGTAAAGACCAAAATTATTTTTGGCGTTTCCTTGTTTTCCTGCTATTTCCTTGATACCCTCATATCCTTTGTGCCCAGTTTCTACTATCCTGATTATATTCAGAGTTCTACTATCCTTTTTATTATTTTTCAGGATATTTTAAAGATGTCTTTTGGAAGACATAAAGAGTGGAGAAAGATTCACCCAAGCATCTCGCCGGAATTTTAGATTTTATCTTTTTTTTTTTGTTAATCACTGTGCTGCCTGAGCTGGTTCCCAGTCTGTCACTGCTAGTCAGTGGCTCAGCGAGCACCTCGAGAATGGCTGACTAGATCCGTGGGACCTCCTTAGGGGCAGTGGTTCCTAACGGAGGATTGGGAGGCTGTACGTACTCAATGTAGCTAACGTGTTCAAATCAAATTGATAGTTTTCAAACGTTTCACTTTTACCAAGATCACCTGAACGGCCCAGTCCTGATGTCTGGGGTTTGTTTAAGTTCTTCTTTATTTATAATCAAATATTAGTCCCAGTTTCATACATGAGAGTTTTATTTAAAGTCTGTGACTTGGGGCTTTAATGACTTGGTCTGTGAAAATGAGCTCTAAAGGTCCCTCCATGTACATTTAATACTTCAGATGGCTCCAGACCTGTAAGCTCTTCCAGAAAAGGATTCCACGGCATGAATATTCACTTGCACTTAGAAATAGTCATTTTTTAAATTTATGCTAGAAAAGTAATTTAAAGTGGAAATCTTATTTCAAAATGCCCTTTGTTTGTTTTGTGTGTTTCTGTAGTGTTGCTTTCTGAGGTAGACTGGGAAAGTTTGTGGGCATTTCATCCCTGAAGGCCTTATTTACAGGGCCTCTCAACTGTAAATCAAAGTAGTAAATAATTTAGCTGAGTGAAATGAGTAACAATAATTGTAGCACGTAAACGTTGCACATCAGCACAGATACCAACATTCTAGACTCTTTGGTTGATGTCATTCAATGGAAAAAAAACTTGTATTAAATTAGTCTGCGGCTCACCTTCCTGAGTTCTGTTATTTCAAACCTGTGCACTAACCTTGCAGTGCATTGTAAATCAACAGTCACATCACTTTCTAAATTACTCACCGATATTACTAGAGATAGTTGTGCATCAATGTGCCTCCTGGAGATTTTGATTTCCTTGAAGACATCTTTGTTCATACCAGTACTCCAAAGGGCACATATGTTCAGCCATCTTCTCTTTATGTGAGGAGGAGCAGGGATTCTCCAGCCACACTACACATTAGACTTTCATGGGGCACTTTCATGAATGATTCAACCCCTGGCCCCACCCCAGAGATTCAGATTTAATTAGTTGTAGATGGATGTAGGCGTCAGTATTTGTTGTTGTTTTTTTTTAATTCTTCAATTGATTCTACTATGTAGCCAAAATTGAGAACTGCTGCCCTAAGTCATCATACAATCCATGCTGGCTGCCTTATGTCCCTAGGGCCCAGGCATATTCTCTTAAGAGGTGTGTTTCATTTTAATAAATAAAGGAATCATTCAGTGATCAAAGATATAATGGACCAGTGGTTCTCAAAATATGGTCCCTTGATCAGGATATCAGCATTACCTGGAACTGTTCTAAATACAAATTCCTGCCCTCATCTCATATCTATTGAATTGGAAACTCTGTGGGTGGGGCCTAGCAATTGGTGTTTTAACAAGCCCTCTGGGTAATTCTGATGTACACTGAAGTCTGGAAACCGCTGTCATGATCTATTGATTGTAGTGAGGATTAGTCTCAGTTGGAAAATAGATTGCAGAAGCATTGTGAACTTTCTTTGTTTCTCTACGTCTATCTCTTTCTCTCTTTTTCTCTCTCTCTATTTTTCTTTCTTTCTCTAGGAAATGGTACTCACTATGAAAGTGATGAATTCAACTTTAAACTCATTTTTATTGTGACTATAATGATTTGTATATGGAGTCCTTCAGCCCCACCCGCTATTGAGAATGAGCATCACTTATGTACATCATAGATCTCTACTGTCTGTCTCAGGTTTTATGAGAGGATTTCATCTACCTTGTATCCCAGTTTCATTTATCACTGAGCTGCATTCCTGTGGAGCTCTGCAGTATTTTTTCACTGATCCCAATCTCAGTGCTACAGAGCACTTTGAATACATAGCACCTTATGGGAAGGATTGTAAACTTGTTAATTCCATTGAAGAATGAGTTTTGTACAATGTGCTAAATGGAAATTGCATTGGATTATTTTTATATTTAACACATTCCGTCAAAACATTCTGTAACATAATTCTACAATCTGCATGTGGGTTTAACTATGAAATTCAGTGTTGTGATATTTTGATGAAGTGAATTCTTTCCCTGCAAATACTATGTCGATAAAATTGTGTGTTCAACTGAACTGATTTTTCCCCTAGTTTCATTATTAAAAGCATAAATAAACCATATGTTTACAGATAAGACATGTGAATCGTTCTTTATAAATAAGACTAGACTTTTAACATCTTCACTGTCCTTTCCTTACAAAATTGAAACTCCATAGAGTAGAGCAGAGAGAATTAGTTTCATTGGGCTGTATTTTTTAGTATATGTGTTTATATTGACTGTCTGCATTCATACATGACTTTCACATACATGGAATAATGTCAGAGAGGAAAATTATCACTACCATTTCATAGATAAGTAAATAGAAGCTCAGTCAAGTTCAGTGGCTTATCTAAAATCATGGTTGATCTCAGGACTTCTTACTCCAAACTCTTTTTTTTTCATCACATACATTTTCTTCTAGGAAGAGGTATATAAAATAGATACTAAGATACTATATGTGAAACTCTGCATATTTCTGTTTACTTGTAGAAGGGAAAAATCAAATCTCATTAATATATCCTGTATCAAGAAAGGAGATATATTTCCAGCCAGTGTCAGTCAAAGGATACAGTAGATTATTTGAATAATTCAAGAGAAAAATAGACAACTGAAGTAAAGGTAGGCAGTATTAGGCTACTTGAATTTCTTGAGTTAAGCCTTTTCTATGGCGTTATAAACTCTTGTGTTGTAAATTTAAAGTACAGTTGAGTTCCTTAACACTTCTAAGATCAATAATTTTGCCACAATGATTGCCCTTGGAAAATGATTGTTTGAGAAAAGAAAAGAAAGCCTTAAAAAAAGATTCATCTAGTGTGTGAAATATTCCAACAGCTTCAAGGACAGCTCAAGACAGGCCACTTCTGACCTTGGGTAATATTTCCTTCCCATCTTCTGTGCCACCTGATTGTGTCATTTAGAAGAAGTTCTCAGTCACCATGACCAGCAGCAAGAGGTACAAGAGAACAGGGAATAAATACAGCTGTAATTCTTTAAAAACTGCTCTCAAACTCACCCTTCTTTTTTAAATTTATTTTTTTCCTTCCCTCTAATATCATGTCCTGTGACAGCAAAACTATGCTCTTCTAAATAACGGGAAATATAAACTCTGTATGGTAAAATGATGGATATTTGAGAATGCACATTTCTTTTGAAATTTCATCCAGAAGTCTCATACTGTTTAATAATCTGTGCAACTTTTACAATATTTTGGAATGATGCAATACCCCCATGTTTTATTAGAGAAAATGAGGTATACAGAAGATTCCTGGCACAGATAATCTGGTACCAAAGTCTATTTAAGAATCAGATCTCTGCCTCCTTTGTCAAATGTTTCCTAGTCTTATTAAATATCTACTTATAGTTAAAGGTTATATTAAGAAAAAAATTATAGGAGAAATCTTGCGGTCATTCAGGAGCTTGGTACTAATGTGACACAGAGTCCTTGAAGCTGAAGTGGGTGTACCCCTGAGGGGAGATGAAGCTTTTCAAGGACTCACTGGCAAGTCTGCTTTGCAGATGTTCAACCTTCTCTGCACTTTTGTCATAAGATGGACTTGTCTGAGAGCTAGCCTGCAGTCAAAGCCTTCCCTTTTGCCAATCCCCCACTCTCTCTTCATAATAGAGGCCAGCCCTTCATTCATTACCAATTTTTCTGTGTTGTCTCTGGGATGTTACAAATGACAAGAGAACAATTTGAAATATGGTGTATGTATGGAAAAAGGGAATGACCTTGATGACTGGCTCACAAATCCTTCTGCAAGCCAAGTGGTTTCTGAGTCTTTGTTTTCAAGAAAACTAAATGAGGACCTACTTGAATTGTCAGCTTATAAGCCATTAAAATAATTTTTGGTATTTTATCAGTCTGTGATTTTTGGTAAATCACTCAGTTTAAGGAAGAGCATTGCTGCACAATACTACACCCAAAATCCTTCCATTCCCATCTACTTATTTACGTGACATGCACAAATTCTATGTTTGCACATCTATACAAATAAAACAGAAAATGGAATAGAACTGATGTTGAACACTCTCAGTCTAGCAGGAAATAATATTTGTTCACAGATACACAAATTAATTAA